AGATTAAAGTCAGAATTCTGAGGAAAAACAGTCAGAATTCTGAGATTAAAGTCAGAATTCTGAGATTGAAGACAGAATTCTGAGATTAAAGTCAGAATTCTGAGATTGAAGTCAGAATTCTGAGATTAAAGTCAGAATTCTGAGGAAAGAAAAAGAGTCAGAATTCTGAGATTAAAGTCAGAATTCTGAGGAAAAACAGTCAGAATTCTGAGATTAAAGTCAGAATTCTGAGATTGAAGACAGAACTCTGAGATTGAAGACAGGATTCTGTGAAAAAAAGAGTTAGAATTCTGAAATTAAAGTCAGAATTCTGAGATTGAAGACAGAACTCTGAGATTGAAGACAGAATTCTGAGATTAAAGTCAGAATTCTGAGATTGAAGTCAGAATTCTGAGGAAAGAAAAAGAGTCAGAATTCTGAGATTAAAGTCAGAATTCTGAGATTGAAGACAGAACTCTGAGATTGAAGACAGGATTCCGTGAAAAAAAAAGAGTTAGAATTCTGAAATTAAAGTCAGAATTCTGAGATTGAAGACAGAATTCTGAAATTAAAGTCAGAATTCTGAGATTGAAGTCAGAATTCTGAGATTGAAGTCAGAATTCTGAGATTAAAGTCAGAATTCTGAGGAAAGAAAAAGAGTCAGAATTCTGAGATTAAAGTCAGAATTCTGAGATTAAAGTCAGAATTCTGAGGAAAGAAAAAGAGTCAGAATTCTGAGAATATTAACTATTCTCTATTAAACTGAAATAAAATTTGAATATCAGTTAACTTTTTTTTTTTTTTTCAGTGGTCCTAACTCTCTTCCATAATAAACTGAATCAAATTAAATTTCAATATCAAATTATTTAATAATGTTTTTTATTGGATTATTTGTTACTGGTATATTTGACCAGTCCAGTTTAATGGGCAGGGATTGTTTATTTAGTTTTAAATGGAGCAAACTGTGGAACACCTTCTCACCTCCAGGTAGGGCACGAGCCGACAGGACAGGTCTCCTAGTAACCTCTTGAGGGTGAGCTCGTGGAAGATGACCACTGGCAGGCAGAAGAAGAGCACGAGGAAGTCCCAGAAGGCCAGTCCGGCCAGGATGCAGTTCCACGCGCTCTTCAGGTAGAAGCTGTGCCACACGATGCACATGAGCGCGAGGTTCCCCACGAGACCCGCTGCGAACAGCACGAGCGCGAGAAGCAGCACCGCGTACGCCCAGTAGGAGGCGTCGGTGACCGGCATCAGAGGGTTCAGGAGCCCCGAGGAGGAGCTGGTGTGGCGGTGGGTCCGCGGAGTGGTGAAGAAGCCGCTCGGGTCGTCATGTCTGCGGGGAGGAACATCCAGAGAAACTGGGTCTCTTCTTCTAAAACTTCCATCTTTGGCTCCTCTGGCGACTCGCTTCAGGCTGGAAATCTCAGTCCGGTTCAGAGGGGGGGAGGTTTGTGCCCCGGCAGGCAGACCTGCAGCATCCTTTGCCTGGATGTCCGGAGCTTGGAGGACCTGACGGAGCTCCGCGCTCCGCAGAGAGAGCAGAAACAGACAGCAGAGGAGCTTCATGGAGCCGCTGCTCTCCTTCACACACATCTGCTGAGAATAAAGACAGGAAAGTCCATGAAGCGGTCTGTGGGGCGGGCAGACCTCCCTCTGCTCCTTATGCAGAACTTTCACAGACCAACCAAGTTCAACATCAAAGTTTACTAAAACTTTGCACAGGGCATCCGGTGTCACATTTCAGAATAAAGGCACCGATTTAAACCAATTTTAGAAAAAAAAAAAAAATGTAAATGAGACTAAAATAAGAAAAAGGAAATAGACTCAATGACAAGTGTATGAATATGTCCTGATTCAAAATGACAACACGTTTAATGTAACTTTATTAGTTATTTAAGACGTCAATTTCAATTCAGTTTATTTCTATAGCGCCAATTCACACACATCTCAAGGCACTTTCCAGTTCACCAGATCATCCAATCAGATTGGTTGTTTTCTATCTAAGGAAAACCAGTTGATTGCATCAACTTATTGACTCTTCAGCATTCCCTCACACTAAGCATGCTTACAGCAACAGTGGAGAGGAAAAACTTCCTTTTAACAGGAAGAAACCTCCAGCAGAACCAATTAACTAATCTCAATTAATACATTTTTGCAAAGTATTTATTCCAGTAATATAAAACGTAAGTGTTTATGTTATTTTGGAAGTTATCACTAAAAGCTGATAAGCTGTAACTGCTCACTCCTGAGAAGCTCATTTTACAAACACCTGATGCGTCACTGAATCAGGTCTGTGACTGGATGGTCTGACACGCTGAAGTTAGTTATATGGAAAAAGTACTTACACACCCCCTACCCCCCACATTTTCCTTGAGTGGAAGGAAAATGTGTCTGCCATGAGTGTCAAACCATTCATGAACCAGAGAGAGCACCAAGACTGAACAGTTGCTCAGTTTTACAAGGCCTCTGTCAGGAATCCAGTTTGTGTGGTCTTTTTTTGTGTTTTCTTTCCTCCTCCACCAGGTGGTGCCCCGTCCTTACTGGGCCTCCCTGCACACCTGCAGCTCGTTGCCTCATTACCTGTGGAGTGCTCTTAAGCTGCTGACTGTCACTACCTCGTTGCCAGAGTGTTTGCCAATACTGGGTACTCTAGCCAAGCTGAGTTTTGCTGAGTCAAACTGAGTTTTTGTCAACCTGAGTCTTAACTTTGTTTTTTGTCTTTGCCTCTCGGCAGGAAGTCATCCTGCAAACTGGATTTTTTCTGACCTTCTCTCTCTGGAAGGATCGGCTGAGCTGGGGTTCCAAACAGGAGGTTTGGATCCACTTTCCCCAAGAAGTAGTTTGAGCTTCACACCGAGCAAAGGTTTCATCTGCACTACAGCTCGTTGAAGTACCGCAGGAAATCTGAGTGGCAGTCAGCTTCTCCATTCACCAAGGAACAACCGCAGTCTGAGTAAACCCTGTCCGCCCAACACCAAACAAGACAATCACTGGAACATTCCACACAGACTGGATTCCATAAAGGACACCTTTTTCTGGAGAAGTGAGTCTGCAACCTGTTCCTCCAATTCAAGCCAAATAATCTAATTTCCCAATGAGCTTGAACTAACCACAGTGTCTTCCCCTCACTTTCCAGTTTGAGTTTGACAGTGTTCAGAGCAGCACTGGACTCATCTCAATATTCTTAATAAACCTGTTAAACTTTTCACTGGTCTCTCTGTTTGGTCTTCTGCATTTTTGGTCAGACCTTTAGATAAAAACATGACAGCCTCCTTTTTACTTGAAATGAAAGATTGTGTTTCATTTAAAATTAAATACTTTTTGGTCAAGTCTCCTAATTTGAAAAAGTGCTTTATAAGAAGAGGGAAGTTACCATTTTCTCTTCCATGCCGACACTGGTTCTTTTAGAACAGAGTTGGGCTAAAATGTGACGTAAACAGACTGTTTATTGAATGGCCATGGCACAGAGAGAAATTAGAAGGCTTTCTTTGTGGAAGTACAATGAAGTCTAGAATGTCAAGACTGATTTAGTTCTAAGAAGTACCATAGACAGAGAGTCAAACTGTGCATATTTTAACTAATAAACTATAGATCATGTCTAAAGAGAAAAAAAGGAAAGGAAATGTCATCTTCTTTAATTACAAGGCGGCAATTGTCGTTTCATTTGAACCTTTGCGACTAAAGCCTTGTCTGACCAGCAGACTGACACCTGTCATTCAACATCGATGCATCCATAAGCCTGTAGCCTTGTCTGAATCTACTTTGGGTGGGAAGTTCCTGCACTGTTCTATAGAAGCGTTGTGTGCAAGATGGATTTTATGGTACTCTTGCTTCCAGCTCAATTCACACACCAATGGCAACTCCCCGTAAGGTGAAAAAGTTTGGGGAAAAAACAACAAAAAACCGTGATAACTACGAGCATGAGCTACAAGAACGAGAAGAAGAGCTCTGCAGTTCTGTGTTTTGGCCACATGTGGCAGTATCATCAGAAAACTCCATCTTGCCCCTTGAAGGTATTGTGGAGGATTTTTGTGAATTTTTAAAAGACCCACCCTCTCCACGCGTGCGAGAGCGTGCACTAGCCCATTTCTCCTCATGCATGCTCTGTTTAAATGTTGTTCTCATAGCTCATACAAGCTTACTGTGTTTGATTGTCTGCTCTAAACCCTAATTCCTATATTCACTATAAAGAGCGGGGACTTATAGTGGATTTTATAGCAAACTCACTTAACTGACCATTCGGACAGATAATCACTACTTTTTGCTCCCTGTTGGTCATGTAACACCGCACAGTGCCTGCGCCATCTTTGTTATTAGTCGCCGCTGTCAGGTAGCGACAGTCTATGGCGACAGCCGGCCATTGTGACTGCCGATCCCATGATGCTTTGCGAGGAGAGCTCTCCGCGCAAAGCATTCCGGGATATACTGCCTCTCCTAAGGCCTTTCTTTTCCCGTCATACACTTTGTAGACATTTTTTCTCTTAAGACCCTCGGCCATTTTCAAAGAACTTCGGTGAGAAAGGTGAGCTTCAATGACTGTCTGAAACCGTAGCTCACTACAGATATATGCCTGAAAGTGCGCATGCACAGAAAAAGATAGCTAACCGACACCAGCACATAGGATGGCCTTACATAAACATGTCACCACAATGATTGACAATTAGGAGGACCACTTTTTTAGATGATCCACCTGGAAATAAAAGGTCGTCTTCTATACCTTTAATAACTTAAATGTGCCCCAAATATTTAGCAGCTCATGATTTCATTTGATCCACTGCATCCTGCAGACCATAACTTTTACTCATGTTAGAGGACCAGACAGCAGTGTCTATCCTCTGCACTTCTGCTGCACTCTACGGCTGCAGCACTGAGGGCAGATTTAAATGGTTATTCCTGGTATGATCTGATCATTGTAGGGAATCATAAAACCTGTCAATCAGTCATGAGTTTTAAAGCTGCTGGAAGGTTAAAATGTGACTGGACTTTGGAATGAAACACAGTCCAGTTGGACCTGAATTACTTAGAAGTACGCAGTTTGTGTTTGTCGATCCCAGACGATCGGATTCCCTTTCAGACCAAACCAGCAGCTTCCTCTGAGTGAGTCCAGCTGCAGGAGAGAAAAGTGGAAACCTCCAACACTGCTGCTTCAAGCTGCTCACACTCCACACACTGAAGGTGAGTTGGACCAAGAACACCACTCAGAGTCACTTTGAGGGAAGTTAGTAGAGGAGGGAGGGGAGCCATGACGGATGGAACCCAAGGGTGTAGGATTGAGTTAGAGATATGGGACAGGAACATAGTGGACACCTTCCAGAACTGTACATGGTTAGCATGCATTATTGGTCAAAATGCATTAATGTGGAGCAACTGGCAGTTGAGCAGGCTCTTCAAGTAACAACTCTCAGATATAAAAAAAATGCAATATGGAAAACCTTTTTTAAAAATTCACAATCCTGCAGGACAGATTATATTTTAAGTTATTAGTCCGTCTGTCTTATCTGTTGATCAGTTCCTATCTCTCCCTTACCTTGACTCTCCTTTAAACCACTGACGGCCGCTGTATGGCATTACAACATTACGGTTATATACAGTATCAGGGTTTAACTCAAACTTCAAAAAACAACATCTGTTGAAGCTTTTACTATATATAACATTCTTTACTAGCTGATTTCCATGTGTTTAGGCTTATATATTGTCAAATCTGTTTAAAGCATATCCTAACCCACAATGAAAGTTTTCTTTGATTAATTTTAAGGCCTCACCCCCATTACTGTTTTATCATCTTCTTCTGTTTGTGGTGCTGCATTGTCTCCTGGTGGAGGAAGGTAGACAAACACAGAAAAAACACATACACAGACAGGAATCCTGACAGTAAGTTTATGACCAACAGCGCCTGCTGGAGTTCTGGTCATCAAGTATTTTTTCTGGACTTGTGAAAAAACTACTCATTTAATTGGCTTTGGAGTGCTTCGAGCACAAGGCCCATAGGCCCACAAACCGGAGGAGGAGCCAGCGGAGACGGTGCAACTGACAAATAAGGTGCAGATACCAATTTGGGCTAACAGCAAAGCTAAAAGTGAACCCCTACAAACCGCTGGCCCCTATAATCCTAGTCTCCAATGTCCGCTCACTGGACAACAAAACTGACCATCTACAAATTGTTCTCTTCAGTAAAAGGAGTTTAGTAACTATTGCGCTGTTATCCTGATGGAGACATGGCTTTACTCATCCATACCAATCAACGTCATTAGCCTGGAGGGGCTCACAATATACCACACCAATAGAAACAGTGAACTCAGCAGTAAGAGCCAATGAGGGGGGGCTCTGTGTTTACATCAACAACTGGTGATCAGTCACCAGCTTCTGCTTTCCGAACATTGAACTTTCTATCTGCTGTCTCACTGTGTGGTGTGGAGGCTGCAGCACTTCAGACTGGAAGAAGGTAAGAAGAGTGGTGAGAACAGCAGGGAGGATCATCGGGGCTCCTCTTCACTCGATTAAGGACATTTTATCCCAGTGCTATCCCCATGGACTGTTCTGCCTGCTGCCCTCTGGGTGGAGGCTTTCTGGTCCAGTACTTTCTGCAACAGCTTCTTCCCCCGCTGCCATCAGACCGTTGAACTCTAAAGTAGACTCTACTTCACACTTGCAACATTATTTTGCGCCACCAACATCGCTGACACTTTTATAGCCCTTTTAAATATAACACAACTCTATGTTATACTGTATTTTACACCATATGTTTATTGCACTGCACTGAACCTTCTCATATGAATGCCCTTTTGACCATTATTTTTTAAACTGGTTGTCCTTTTCACCTACAGTGTTTCCATTCTGCACTTTAAATGGTAATGTTCACTTTTGTAAGCTTTAAGCAACAACATTTCATTTTGAATACACTAGGTGTATACAAGATGACAATAAAATTTGTCTAAGACTAAATTCTGTATGTATATATTGTCTGTTTATATTTATTTCTGTTTCTTTAGAACCATGGACCTGACAGTCCTTATTCTTCTTTTTTACATGTGCACATTGGTTTTCTTAAATTTAACTCTATGATGAAAGGGGATGGTGTGGCTTATTATGTAGTAACGTTATATTTAATGCCCACACAAGGGGGCGGGGCCAGCAAATATTTTATTTAATGCAATTACTTTTAGACTGTCATATATGTTGACAGGGAACACATACCCAACTGACTGTGAGTTAAGACAAGAAATTAAAGTGGGAATAGGTCTCAAATCATGGTGGAAGGGTTAACTGTGCACATGTATGGAATTAATTGAAAACCAAATAAATTACATTAAAAATATAAGAATTAATTAATCCAGCACTAAACTTTCCAATTTTATAAGATAAAAGCATATTTAGGTAAATATTTATAAATCAAGTATTTATCTCCTCTACAGTAAATTTCTTCCTACACCTTTAACTGGACCTTCTGTGTTTTCAGCTTCACTCAGAGACTAAATGGCTTCCAGACCAGAGGAGGATCTCTGCTGCCCGGTCTGTCACGATGTCTTCAAGGAGCCAGTTCTTCTGTCATGTAGCCACAGCTTCTGTAAGGAGTGTCTGCAGGACTGGTGGAGAGAGGACCTTAAACGACACTGTCCAGTTTGCAAGAGAAGGTCTTCAAAAGATTCTCCACCTGTAAGTCTGGCTCTGAAGAATCTGTGTGAGACCTTCTTACGGCAGAGAGAGCAGAGAGCTTCAGAGGATCTCTGCAGTCTGCACTCTGAGAAACTCAGACTCTTCTGTCTGGACCATCAGCAGCCAGTGTGTCTCGTCTGCAGAGATTCAGAAAAACACACCGAGCACAGATTCAGACCCATCGATGAAGCTGCTCAGCAACACAAGAAGAAACTTCAGGAAACTCTGGAACCTTTGAAGGAGAAGCTGGAACTCAGGAAGAAAGTTCAAGAGGAGTTTGATCAGACAGCAGAACACATGAAGGTCCAGGCCCGACACACAGAGAGGCTGATTAAGGAGCAGTTTAAGAAGCTTCATCAGTTTCTAGCAGAGGAAGAGGAGGCCAGGCTGGCTGCACTGAGGGAGGAAGAGGAGCAGAAGAGAGGGATGATGAGGGAGAAGATGGAGGCTCTGAGCAGAGAGATAGCAGTTCTTTCAGACACAGTCAGAGCCACAGAGGAGGAGCTGAGAGCTGAAGACGTCTCATTCCTGCACAACTACAAGGCTGCATTGAAAAGAGTCCAGCGCTGCCCCCTGCTGGAGGATCCACAGCTGCCCTCAGGAGCTCTCATAGACCAGGCCAAACATCTGGGCAACCTGGCCTTCAACATCTGGAGCAACATGAAGGACATGGTGTCCTACACTCCTCTCATCCTGGACCCAAACACTGCTGGTTCTCATCTCATTCTGTCTGAAGATCTCACCAGTGGGACAGAAGGAGAGGAACAGAAGCTTCCTGATAATCCAGAGAGATTCGAGTCTTGGTGTTCTGTCCTGAGTTCTGAGGGCTTTAACTCAGGGAACCACAGCTGGGATGTTGATGTTGGAGACAGTGAAGAATGGGTCCTTGGAGTTTTAGAAGAATCTGTCCAGAGGAAGGGAGAAGAAAAGTCTGGACGTCTGGTAGTACAGTTCCATGACAGTGAATACTCAGCATGGTCTTCACCGTCTCCTCCCACATTTGTCTCAGTTCAGAAGAAGCTCCAGAGGATCAGAGTGAATCTGGACTGGGACAGAGGAAAGCTGTCCTTCTCTGATCTGGACACTAACACACACATACACACCTTCACACACAACTTCACTGACAAGATGTTTCCACGCTTCTCCACTGCTGGTAAAATAAAAATCTTACCCATGAAGATCTCAGTAAGCAAAGAGCAGCTCTGATGTCCTGTTTCCTCTAAGCTTAATCAAAGACCTACTGGCTGCTGCTGTAGTGTAAATAGGGCTCAGTAACTGATTGATTTTATAAAAAATAATGTAATTTTACGTTGATTGAAGATTCAATTTTTGAAAATCTGTTTGTTTTGTTTTTTTCCAATGTACTTGTTAAGCTTCAGTAGCTCAGAGAGACATCAGTTTATTACTTTGCTCTCTAAGATGTTAACTCATCTCATAAACTAGATCACAATTTAATACCAGTAGATGCAAGCATTCAGTTTGTAACGTTTCCATTGTTTACAGTGGCGGGGGTGTCCAAATGGTTTAAAGGCATCTTTTACAGCTTGGATTTAGTTGAATTGAAAATAAAAGGCTGCTTTTTAAAATTAATTTATGTCATTTTTTATTTTTTTGTCATGAAATTTAAGAAGAAAAAAATATTTTATTAGTGTTGGGATCTGGAGATTCACCACCTCTCTCCAGCAGAGTGCGCTGTGGGTCTCCTGGGCTGGAGCCCTCCAGCACACCTGACGCTCATTAGCCCATCAGGAGACCTTCCTACATAAGCAGCAGCCAGACCTTCCTTCAACGCCGCAGTGTTGACCCAGTTTGGTTAGCGAACCTGAGCCTCTGTTATTCAAGTGAATCTTAGTTGTCTCTAGAGAGAAACCTGATTCTAATCTGCCTCTGTCTTCTTGCTCACAGGAAACCCGTCTAAAGTCCAAAGCTCTGGATGAGCTTTGCTTGTAAACCTGCCTGCCTGCCTAAGAGAGCCAAACCAGAAGATCTCAATCTGGACTCCTCCTGCTGCTCTCAAGGAAGAGCTGGAATCACAAACCAAGGTCTGCCACGCATAAGTCAGAAGCTAGACGCTGCTGCTGCTGAGCACTCTGCTGAACCAACAGTCTCTGGACCCAACCGGTTCCCTCTCTCACAAAGATCAGTCTGGACCTCTTCAAGGTATATTCTGAATAACCTAAACTCAACAAACCATCTGACTGCCTGGCTAATCAAACTATCTGTCTCTGCAGACATCAGTGAATCCAGTCCCGGACCAGTGCCTGAACCAGTTCATGGTCTTTGTGTGAAAACCTTCAATAAACTCTGTTAAACTTTTACTCTGCTTCCAGTGGTGTTCTGCATGTGGGTTAAGTCTCTTAAGCCAATCATGACAATTAGATTTGCAAGGGGAAAATCTGCGATTATATCTTTAAGACATGTACACCTAACCCGGCAGCCAGATTAACAATGTGTAACACAAATTTAGTTCTGCACACTATTAATCTGGGACTGCTTCCACTGAATCAATGGGAAGGGAAGGAAACTTTAAGCATAAAGCGAGCCACTTGGGCGAAGTGATACCTCACATGTGGTGTTCCTCAAGGCTTCATTCTGGGGTTCCTCCTATACATGCACCCCTTCGCTCAGATTATAGCAAACAAAAGATCAGTTACCATAACTATGCAGACGACATGTAGGTTTACATCACAATGCCACCAGGTGACTACGAACCCGTCACAGCATTGGTTAGATGCTTAGAACAGATCAATATGTGGATGCAGCATAATTGTCTACAACTGAATAAAAACAAAACTGAGGTAGCAATCTTCAGACCAAAGCGGGAGAGATCCAGAGTTCGCTCACAGGTTCAGCTACTACAGCTAGAACCCACTGATTATGGCCAAAATCTTGGTATTATGATAGACTCAGGCCTTAACCTTCAGAGGCTCATAAAGGGAGTTACTAAGGATCTAGAAAAACTCATCCATGGGTTTATCTATAGTAGAATTGCTCACTGTAACTGTTTTCATAGGTTTGCCTAAAATATCCTTTAGACAGCTGCAGCTGATCCAAAACGATGCTGCTCGTTTTCTAGAACTAAGAAAGTAGAGCCCTCTGTACAGAAGTTCTCAGATGATTCTGCCATCTTAGACTGTGCTTCTGAGGGGAACAAGCTGGAGTATCGATCAGTCATCATGACCTTTGTGGACTGGTGTGAGAAGAACCTCCTGTGCCTTAGCACCCGTAAGACCAAGGAGATGATGAAGGACTTCAGGAGAAGACCCCGACCTCACTACCTCGTGAACAACCAGAGGCAGGACATAGAAACCTGGGTGCCCTCCTCTCCGCTGATGTCTGCTGGGGCCCTGGCAACGTAGAGCGGGACAGAAAGAGACTAAACAAACTGGTGAGAAAGGCTGCGCTCTGGACTCAGTGAAGGGAGTGGCTGAGGGTGCTTTCCAAGCTTACATCCATTATGGACAACACCTTTCACCCTCTGTACCAGACTTTAGAGTTTAGACTTTTTAGACTTTAGTGAAAGACCTTTACACCCTGTTTGTAAAAAGGAGCGCTACCGCAGGTCATTCATCCCTGCTGCAACCAGGCTCTAAATCGCAACACTACAACAGTAATATCTTGTGCAATGTATAATGTGCAATTACTATTTAAACCCTGTGTAATAGCCTGTTTCTTTACATTTCAATTCAATTCACTTTATTTCTATAGCGTCATTTCACAACATATGTCCTCTCAAGGCGTTTTACAGTTAACCAGATGATAGAGTCAAATTGATTCGACACCCAGTGCAATAGCTATATATAAGATATCCATGTAAATAAATACACATGTAAACTCCCTGTGCAATAACCCCGTGTAATAATCCTACTGACTGCACCGTCTTCTCTTTTTGACTATTTGAGCTAATGTCAGGAGTACATTTCTCCACTGTGAGATCAATCAATCAATCAATCAATCACTCTAATAACCAGAAATGGAAGACCAAGAATTCAGCCAGAGACAACAGTAGACATTTTTGATCAGTTTATCAAATATGAAACTGGCGCAGATTGAGACAGATTCATCAGAGTTACCAACTGGAATTTCTGAAGACTGGACAGTTGAGTGACCAGGCAGATACAGAGGGCAATATTTCCAATGTTGAACTCTGGTTCAATAACCTTCTCAGAGGTTGGGGACAAACTTTGAGAGTTTCTGAAGAAGCCATTTAGTGCGTGACATCACAGGAGATCCTTGGAGGATTGCTGAATCTGTCCAGGTAGGTTTTGGAGGAACCCTTCTGTTAGGTTTATTCAATGATGATTATAAAGTTAATGTGTACATATGAAACATTGGAGAAAGAGGAGAATTTTGTCCTATGACCTTATCAATTGCCTTGTCAGAAGAACACTCTATTTTGTAACCCACCCCATCTGTTATGATCTGCTAATAAAAAGGCTTCTGCAGAGGAAGTCCATCAGAGAGTAGATGTAGCTGAATGTAACTCTCTCCTTCTACAGAAGTTGTTATAAAATCCCTCTTCTGTGTAGAGTCAGTTCCTCTTTTATGAACCTACATTTTTTAACCTAACACCTTCTTTAACAGTTACCCGTTGGTCAAGGGGAATACACAGGGTCCGAAGAGCAAAACAGGCAGAATGATAAAGGGGGCAAAACTAGAGTACGGAATCTGAGAGCAGGTCCAGAGTAAAAGCCAGCTGATCAGAAATCCAGATACAATCCAGAGGTGAATCAGAGAGCGGGGTCAGAATCAGAGCGGAGTCAGGGCACAGAATACAGATAAGAGCTTCAAAATCTCACTATGACATGTCTGATAGGGTTCAGTCAGGAGGAAGAACCATGTCAGAATCAGGCAGACAGGTAAAGGAATGCTGTATTAAACTCACTAATGGCTCGTAATAATCTGATAATAGTGATTGGTCTGAGAGGTGGTTATATAGTCAGGTAAGCAGGTGAATCTGATGAAGGCTGATTGGGATGGGAAAGAGATCACAGGTGTGCTGAATTAGTGAATGAGAATTCAACATTGTGTGACCAGCCGAGGGGTTGATCTTATTAGACAAGACGCACCAGAGCACGGAGTAGTCTACAATAATTTATTAATACATTTCATTAAAACACTTTTCTTTAAAACATGGCCTCAGGCCCACTACTCAGCCCCTAAAAAGGAAAAGGCATCAAAATAAAGACAATTTAAATTATTCCCAAAAAAAAAACAAACAAAACATGCAATGCAAAAGAAAACAAATTAGTAAATCAAAACAAAGGAAGGCAAACAAATGAGTAATTTAAATAATAAGCAAACAAACGGCAAAGAAAAGAACACAACCACTGCAAACGATGGGACAAATTGTCAGTGTCCGACTTCTAATGTTCCTTTACGGGGCCAGAGGAGTCGTGGCCCGCTCGTTCGGCCAGCCCCAGCGTCAGCAGGCTCTTTGGAGAGCGGCCCAAGCAAAACCGGCCAGACAAGACAAGACAGCAGGAGCGTCCAAGCACTGCAACTCCGAAAGAATCCTAAATTAGAGAACTCGTTAACCCTGGATTCAGGAAAGATAAATTAAATCCTAAACAGGTAGCTTACCCAGATGTGGTGACACAGCCGACCAGGGAGGGAGCGGATCAGCAGGCGAGGGCCGGATGGAAGCCGCCCGCCGCACCAGCCTCCAACTGCAGCTGCCAACGCCAGCCGCGCAACGCTGCAGAAACGCACGGCAGGTATTGCACCAGAGCCCGACAACAATCCCAGCCCAGATGGCAAAAATGGCACTTACTATTTTGGATGAGTGGATCGAGCACACCAGCCACTTGGGCAGCCGACACAGAGTAAAGGAAACAATGCACGCACCTCGCAGCGGACTGCTCAGCTTAAAAGCTATCTGCCCCGCCCACCAATCACTCGCTACACCTGGTGTGTGTAGTTGGGAGGGTGGAACACCATCCCACCACAATTGGAAACATTACCCTCTGTTGAACGGCACTAGTGCCAAGAATCAGGTGCCAGAGTTTTGTAGCAATACCTCAATGTTTACTAAACTAATTGGACAGAACAAAGAAGAAATAAGTGGAATATTAATAATCATAGTATGTGATTATAATTGCCAACTCTGCAACTTATTGGGCTTCTTCCTTCTGTTTAATTTTATTTTTAGTTTATTTGTTATTCTGTACTTTTGTAGTTGTTTTCTGTAAGTTTTGTATTTCTTTAGTTACGCTCTGTTGCCCCCTTGTATCTGTTTCCTTTCCCTTGGCTTCCTTCTGGTTAGTTCTATTCACACCTGTTCCATATCAGCTCATCAGCCCATCCTTTTATCTCTTTCCCGTATATACACCCCCTCTCCAGTTCCTCATTGCTGGTTTCTTGTTGTTTTGTTGCTTCCTTGTCTTAATTCAATTCAATTCAGTTTTTTTTACAAGGTACTTTAAAATTCAACCAGATCATCCATTCAAATTGATTAAGAGTTTTCTATCAAAGGAAAACCAGTTGATCTCATCGACTCATTGACTTAAAGGCAATCCCTCACACTAAGCATGCTTGTAGCGACAGTGGAGAGGAAAAATTCCCTTTGAACAGAAAGGAACCTCCAGCAGAACCAGGCTCAGTGTGAGCGGCCATCTGCCGAGGCCGACTGGGGTTCAAGGAGACAAGCAGAGACACAAAAGGCAACTGTAAAGGCGGCCCCGTCCAGGAAACACACAGCCAGGCAGACGAGCTCCGAGCCAGCTCCCATGTCAGAGGATGAAGAGAGCAAATCCAGCCAGTCACAATCAGATAAAAAGGACTGCACTGAAAAACAGGCTGATCTCCTACATCTATGAACAAAGGTGTTGATGGCAGCAGCACAGCTGATATTTCTCTCAAGGATGGAGTCACAGCAAAACAGACCAGTTGAAGCTACTATGAGAAAAAGCATAGGGAACAGAATGTTAGAGATTAAACTAACAGATTATGCAGAGTGGGAGAATAGAGATAGAATAATGAAAAAGGGGTCCCTATGTCCTCCAGAAGTCTAAGCCTATAGCAGCATAACTATATAGATAGCTCAGGATAACCTGGGCACCTCTAAATATAGGTCTCCAGGCTCCCCATGTGTGTTTCCCGGACATTTACTGAAGTTTTCGGTTTTTCTGTATTTTTGGATTTTAGTGTGTGTACCTGTCTAAGCATTAGGCATGAATTCACCTGCAGGGAAGGAAGAATGACGAGGGGCTGAGAGTGTGATGGTGTGAGTGCCTGGTATGTTGAGCTTGGTGTGCATCAAAGGACTGATACCAGGGGATTGCCTCATATCCCAGGAAATTTAAAGGTATAGTGGAGGATTTTCACTAATTTTTTTAAATATCTGACTTGTCAAATCTCTCTCTTACTTCCTCTGTACCAGCTGCCACACAGCAGGGAAAGGTTCCACCTCCAAATGTGTGTGGAGTGAGTCACCATACAGAGGCCAGAAAGCCATCAGTTTCAACGTCTCTACATTACTTACTCATTTTCTTTAGAGTATCTATTGTGTGTTTTAGGTTTAAGGATTCAATGACAGATAGAATATATGTTGTCACTAATTATGTTTTTTCAGACAGTAGTTTGATTCTGATCTCTGCAAATTAAAAGGTAGAAAACTGTTCAGCGGAAAACAAAGCGAAAGCAAATTGAACCTTTGTTAAAACAAAACAGCACAAACATCAGGCATCCGACCTTGCAGGTTTAAGCTCCACCTCTCCCTAAAACATGTCAGGAAGCGTAGAACCAGTTTCTCATTCTGATCATTCAGACCAAACCAGCAGCTTCCTCTGAGTGAGTCCAGCTGCAGGAGAGAAAAGTGGAAACCTCCAACACTGCTGCTTCAAGCTGCTCACACTCCACACACTGAAGGTGAGTTGGACCAAGAACACCACTCAGAGTCACTTTGAGGGAAGTTAGTAGAGGAGGGAGGGGAGCCATGACTGACTGGACCTTCTGTGTTTTCAGCTTCACTCAGAGACTAAATGGCTTCCAGGTTAGAGGAGGATCTCTGCTGTCCGGTCTGTCAGGACGTCTTTAAGGATCCAGTTCTTCTGTCATGTAGCCACAGCTTCTGTAAGGAGTGTCTGGAGAACTGGTGGAGAGAGAAACCAGTAAAAGAGTGTCCAGTTTGTAAAACAATTAGTCTCACCCCAAATCCTCCATGTAATCGGGTTCTGAAGAACCTGTGTGAGACCTTCTTACAGGAGAGAGACCAGAGAGCTTCAGAGGATCTCTGCAGTCTGCACTCTGAGAAATTCAAACTCTTCTGTCTCGACCATCAGCAGCCAGTGTGTGTCGTCTGCAGAGATTCAAATGTCCACAGAAACCACAGTTTTGTACCTATAGATGAAGCTGCACATGAAATAAAAATAAGTCTTTGTTCGTCTTTAGAAACCTTGAAGAAGATGCTGGAGGTAAGGAAGAAAGTTCAAGAGGAGTTTGATCAGACAGCAGAACACATGAAGGTCCAGGCCCGACACACAGAGAGGCTGATTAAGGAGCAGTTTAAGAAGCTTCATCAGTTTCTAGCAGAGGAAGAGGAGGCCAGGCTGGCTGCACTGAGGGAGGAAGAGGAGCAGAAGAGAGGGATGATGAAGGAGAAGATGGAGGCTCTGAGCAGAGAGATAGCAGCTCTTTCAGACACAGTCAGAGCCACAGAGGAGGAGCTGAGAGCTGAAGACGTCTCATTCCTGAACAACTACAAGGCTGCAGTGGAAAGAGTCCAGCGCTGCCCCCTGCTCGAGGATCCACAGCTGCCCTCAGGAGCTCTGATAGACCAGGCCAAACATCTGGGCAACCTGGCCTTCAACATCTGGAGCAACATGAAGAACATGGTGTCCTACACTCCTCTCATCCTGGACCCAAACACTGCTGGTTCAGAACTCGTCCTGTCTGAAGACCTGACCAGTGGGACTGTAGGAGAGGAACAAAAGCTTCTTGATAATCCAGAGAGGTTTGGGTTTTGGTCCTGTTCTGTCCTGAGTTCTGAGGGCTTTAACTCAGGGAATCACAGCTGGGATGTTGATGTTGGAGACAGTGGAGGTTGGAGACTTGGTGTGTTAGAAGAGTCTACCAAGAGGAAGGGAATTATAGTGTCTGGATTGTTGATTATATGGTTGTTTGAAGGGAAATACTATGCGCAATCTCCACCAGCTCCTCCTGAAGTTCTGTCAGTAGAGAAGAAGCTCCAGAGGATCCGAGTGAATCTGGACTGGGACAGAGGAAAGCTGTCCTTCTCTGATCTGGAGACAAACACACATATACACAGCTTTCACACACACAAATTCACTGACAAGATGTTTCCATTATTTTCCACTGGTGATGATACAGTAAAAATCTTACCCATGAAGATCTCAGTGAGCAAACAGCAGCTCTGATGTTCTCAGCATGAAGAACACAAAGTCCAAATGAAACCTTATTTATCTGATTGAAACTCAGCATTTGAAACAGGAAACTGGAGATGATCTGATCTGACTGATCATCTGGTTGTTTTCAGGTCAGTTTCAGATCTGCTTCATAATCTGTCCAGATGCTGCAAACTAAGACATGAAGTGGATGATGTGGAGTTTAGTTTGGTTCTGACAGCAGATCCAGGTGTGCTGATCATGAACAGGGAACAGGTGAGGTTAGTGGAGACATCAGGACCCTGGAGAGTTCTGCTGATGGAAACAAACTGAGATCCAAACATCCACACTGATGAACGCTGCAGAAGAAACTCAGAGGTTTTCATGTTTAGTTCAGGAACATCTCAACAGAGTTCATCTAAAAATAAGTTAACAAACAAACATTGTGTCTTGGTACTTCAAATCCTGGAACCACAGTGTTCATGGTGAAGTTTTCTATTCCAGCTTTGTTCAACCGGTCTAGAAGGTTCTGTTTATCTCTGTTAGTTGAAGGCTTATTAAGATTTTCTGTTGGCTCCTGGGCCAACCTGCATCACATTTATTAATTATGAATTCATGCCGCTTGAAGCACTGCTGCCTTGTGTCATAAAGGTTAAGGGTTTCTCTCTATGTGCTCTGTTTTCCCCCTACAGTATTGAAGGTAACTGTAGATTGTACCATGTTGTCCCACACAGCCATTAATAAATCATTGCAAAATGTTGCATGTGAAAGTCCCGGTGAAATTAAATGCTGGGATGCTGGAATATATTTAATCCTATGTCTGCCATGTGCATGATGGTTTGGTCCAAACCCAAGCTGCAGCCATCATTTTTTCTGTAAGATTTTACTGCATGTTTAATCCAATAATCAGTAAAATAAAAATCTGTACTAAATGTTGGTTTCTGTTTGGAGTTGTTTAGCGGTTTCAATTCAGTTCATTTATATAGGGCCAATTCAAAACTCACATCATCTCAAGGCACTTTACAGCGACAATACTGTTAGATTTATTAAAATTTATTTTAAGGAAAAAGACACTGGCCCCTCTCTCAAGGAGTTTGGATGACCACCTTATCCGCGACCCTCTGGTATACCAGGCACTTTCCAATGAACTCTGCACCTTGCAAGATAAAGGCGCAGTGCCTGTGGACCACCTGCTGGATCCAGGGGACTTTTACTTAGTCTATTTTCTGGTTGCGAAAAAGACTGAGGGCCTTTGTCCGGTTCTAGACCTCAAGGGACTGAACTCGTATCTGAAGGATATGCCCTTTTGCATACTGACAACCAAGGGGTCTTGTAGGTGATCTCCCTGGGCGACTGGTTTGTGACAACTGACTTGAAGGATGCCTATTTTCATGTCCCCATTGCACCAGCTCCACTTTGCATTCCAGGGATGACATTTTTGGTTTGGGGTCCTCGCCTTTAGGATCTTTCTGTCTCCCTGTGTGCCAACTAGGGCAGCAGCAGTCCTGTCAACACAGATACAAGGCATTCAGATGCTGCCCTCTCTGGACTACTGATGATTTTTTCCAAGACACATGGTCAGGCAGTCCAGGACACCCAATTGATGCTCTGCCATGTTCAACAACTAGCTTGAAGGTGAAATTACAAAAGAGCATCCTCACCCCTTCCCAGGTGATGGTGTTCCTGGGTGTGCTCCTCGATTCCATCTCCGTGACTGCCCACCCTTCTCCACACCAGGTCGCCAGTATTTTTACATTTTTTTCCAGCTTCCAGTATGGCACAGCACCAAATTTTCTGGATTATCTGTACCTTCAGGGTATGCTCACTACTGCGTCCAGTGTGGTTCCACTAGGACTTCTCTCCTTGTGTCCTTTGCAGATGTGGATGAACAGCCTGGCTTTGAACCCTGCCCATCGTGCAAACAGGCACAAGCGGATTTGCATGGTGCCTCAGGTTTTTCTGTCTCTGTGCTTGATCCAAAGGGAGGTTGTTTATGCAGACACCTCCTTCAAAGGCTGGGGCGCAACCCAGAGGGGCCCTACAGTGCAACAGGTGTTGTCTGCACATCTAACAGACACATCAATGCCCCATTGCTGCTTGCTGGAGCTCTCACACTTCATGTTTTATTTCCGGAGTTGCGGAGGAAGCACGTTTTCGTCCGGTTGGACAACACAATGGTGGTCACTTCTATCAACGGCCAAGGGGGGTCCAGGTCCCAGTGGCTGTGGTCCCTGAACCACCGGCTTCTGGATTGGCCAGCATACCGCTTCATCAGCCTCAGGCAAGACCGGCTTTCAGACTTCCGCTCTTGCACGTCACCTCTTTTGAAGGAGTGGCAGCTTTGGCAAATCACATCTGGCTGACATTTGGCAGATCGAGGGTGGACCTGTTTGCCTCCAGGGACACAACCCACTGCCCTCTGGTTCTCCCTGTCAGACAATTCCTGTCCGCTGGGGTCAGATGTGCCTGCCCACAATGGGCCCGGGAACTCCTATACAACTTTCCCCCATTCAGCCTGATTCCCCAAGCCATCATCTAGGAGGGGCACAGGCTCCTGCTGATAGTCCCTTTTTGGAAGGGGAGGAGTTAGTAAATAGTAAATGGCATGTACTTATATAGCGCCTTTTATTCAAGTTAGGAGACTTGACCAAAGCGCTTTACACCACATTCATTCACCCATTCACACACACACTCACACACTAGTTTCCTCTCTTGTGCAGGCTCTGCTCTGGCTCACAGATGCGCCTCCACTCCAGGTTGGACCTCCTCTTCCAAATGGGGTGTCGGATTCTTCACCCCGACCTGCACCAACTATAGCCCTGGCTTTGGCCTCTGCAGGGCCCAACCTTGACTTTTCCCGATTTGTGTGTTGGTGCCTTCTACATGGGCTGTCTATTCTGCCAGGTGGGCAAGTTTGCTGCCTGGGGTGGTGATAGGGGGCTGGACTCTATGCATTGTCACATCCCACCCTTTCTGACCTTCATTCAATGGTTGTTGGACCAGGGGCGGACCCCCTTCACCTTCAAAGTCTATGTAGCAGTCTTTTTCCATTGGTACATTGGGTTCAACGGTTGCTCTTTTGGAAGGTGTAGGGCCCTGGTTCTGTTCCTGAAGGGTGCCAGGTGATTGTATCCTCCAAAGGGCCTGTTGGCTCCTACATGGGATCTGTATTTGGTACTAGAGGCTCTGTTTCCAGCTATTTGAGCCAGTGATGGTGAAAGAGCTCCAGTGGCTCTCATGTAATAATGCCTTCCCACTCACCATGGCCTCTGTTCGGCATGTGGGGGAATTGCACACCCTTTCTGTGTCCAAGCAGGGTCAGCCCCTGCCGGAAAGTGTGCGGGGCCACTCCAAGAGGAGCTTGTCAACATCTTGGGATGCCATAACAGGGGTACCACTGGATTCCATCTGTGAATCGGCCCCCTGGTTGGTGCCGAGCACCTTCACCAGGTTCTATAAGATGAACATGGCCACAACTCATGCTCTACAGGGCGTCCTGCAGCAACCACCTCGCGTCCCACTGAGGTAGGTACTGTTGCTCCTGTTTTTTTTTTTTTCTCTTTGCATCCCTCGGGATCCTGTTGGCATATTTCCTTCAGTGATTGATACACCGCCTCATAAAAATGTGTTACAAGGGCCAAGTTACATTCCAGACCTGGATCTAATCGAGAATCCGTGGAAAGAACCGAAAACTGCTGTTTACAAACACTCACCATCCAACCTTACTGAGCTCAAGCAGCAAGGAAAAATAGGCAAAACTTTCAATCTCACACCCTAGGGTCTCTTGATGTGCAAAACTGATAGAGACATACCTCAAGCAACTTGCAGCTGTAACTGCAGCAAAAGTCTGAAAAGAGCTGAATTATTCTGGACGCCCAATTTATCAGTTTTTTATCTAATGCAATAAATTTCATTCCACTTCATTATTTTGTCCCATTTGTTGTTGATTCATCCTAAAACAATACAGTTTTATATCTTTAAGTTCGAAGCCTGAAATTTTGAAAAAGGTTGAAAAGTTCAAGGGGGCGGGATACTTCGCAAGGCACTGTAAATACTTAGAAACATCTGTCCGGACTGAATTGTGCCAAGCAGGATTGGGCCTTTTACTCTACATCCTCATTCTTCATTACACATGAGAAGATTAAGCCAAAATCACTCTGTCTTTAATCGTAAGATTTTCTAAAAAGGAAAATTTAAGCCATTTTGGAATTGTGAAATGGATAGCTGGTCGTTTTTATTTTGTTACCCATCTGGGATCTCAGAGGGAAAAAAAAGCTAAATGGGTCTGTTTTTTGTCTTTCTGTTTTTTGTATTTGGAAATTAGGAAACAGTTTGTTTTCCGATTTTGGATTTTTTTAATACAAAACCAAAATCAAAAGGCCAGCATGTACACAGACCACAAATAGGATCACTCTTTTGAGTTTTCATCAGATATCTAGCTGCAGCATTTTGGATGGCTTTTAACTACAGTCTGGTGGTAAAGAATTACAATAGTCCAGCCCTGAAGTAACAAATCCATGGACTAGTTTCTTAACAGCACCCCTGGACAAGATATTTCTAATTTTTGCAATGTTTTGCTGATGATAGAAGGAAATTCTAAAAACATACTTGATATGTGATATAAACAACAATGATTTATAGAGAATTGTAACTAAGTACCATCTGCAAAACAATGGAAATTAATACGTATGCCGTCTAATATTTCTACCAAATGGGAGCATATACACTGCTCAAAAAATAAAGAGAACACTCAAATAACACATCGCAGATCTGAATGAATTAAATATTTTTATTGAATACTAAGAGTTGAATGTGCTGAAAAAAAATCACACAAGGATCATCAATGGAAATCGGTGATTTGGAGTCAGACATTAAATTAATTTGGGGAAACGTACGACAGGCTGATCCAACTATGATATAATCTTCTTAAAGCAAGTCAAAATGAGGCTCAGTATTGTACGTTGTTAGGATTTCAGTTTGTGTGGGTTGTTTTTAGGTTGTCCTCTCTCCCCCACCAGGTGGTGCCCTGTTCTCGTTGGGACTCCCTGCACACCTGCGGCTCGTTGGGTCATTACCGGAGGAGTACTTGAGCAGCGGGCTGTCACTGCCTCAACGGCAGAGTGTTTGCCAGTTTTGGGTACTCTAGTCAAGCTGAGATTAGCAGAGTCTAAACCTAAGCATAGTTTCTCTGAGTCTGATCTTGTTTTTGTCTTTGCTCTTTGGCAGGAAGCCTTCCTGTGTAACTGGATAGCCTGGACCTTCTCCCCATGGAAGGATTTACTGAGTTCACACTGAGCAGGGGAAAATCTCCACATGATCTGTTGAAGTCCTCATCTGGAAAACCAAGTGACAGTCCGCTCCTTTACTCCTCTGGGTCCAACATATGTCTGCCTGTCCGCTCTCCAACGAGTTCCCTCTTCTCTGGATTAAACTCCCACAAACTGGATGCAAAGATTAACAAAGAGCCCCCCAAACGTGAGTTTTTCTCCAGCATATTCAAGCCTCAGTCAACTGATCACTGTGATCCCCCCTTCAGACTTTCGGGTTCCGGTTCACCAGTCCGCTGAGTTCCAGCTTCTTCTTCAGTGTTTTTCTACATTCAATAAACCTGTTAAACTTTTTCCCTTGGCCTCTGAGTGGTTATCTGCATGTGGTCAGATCACTAAAACCAAATACGACATCTGTGACATCCACATGCTCCTGAGGAGCTGGTGGATGGTCTCCTGAGGGATCTCCTCCCAGACCTGGACTAAAGAATCCGCCAACTCCTGGACAGTCTGCGTTGCAATTTGACGTTGGTGAACTGGAATGAGACATGATTTCCCAGATGTGCTCAATGGGATTCATGTCTGGGGAATGGGCGGTCCAGTCTGTAGCTTCAATGCCTTCACCTTGCAGGAACTGGTGACACACTCCAGCCACATGAGGTCTAGCATTGTATGCATTAGAAGAAACCAGGGTCAACTGCACTGGCATATGGTCTCACAAGGGGTCATAGGATCTCATGTCGGTACCTAATGGCAGTCATGCTAACTGTGGTGAGCACAGGGAGGACTGTGCAGCCCTCAAAAGGAATGCTGGTCCACACCATTACGGACCCACTGCCAAACCGGTCATGCTGAGGGATGTTGTAGGAAGCAGATCACTCTCCACATTGTCTCCAGACTCTCTCAGATCTGTCACATCTGCTCAGTGTAAACCTGCTTTCATCTATGAAGAGCACAGGGCGTCAGTTGTGAATTTGCCAATCCTGGTGTTCTCTGACAAATGCCATGCATCCTGCACAGTGTTGGGCTGTGAGCAGAACCCCAATCTGTGAACATCAGGCCCTCATACTATACTCATAGAATCGGTTTCTAACTGTTCCATAAAGTTAAAAAACAAACCACTGGACTTTGTTTTCCAAGTTTTAAGATATTCCATCCAGGAAGATTTTACAATTCAAAAGGTCTGAATTAGCTTTGCGTTCTTTGTGCTTTATAGAGTAGCCCAACAAAGCATTGTAATGGCTTAGAAAACAAGCATATTGAAACGTCTTCAAACTTGGAAAACAAAGTTTTATAACTTTTTGGAATGACTATGACCAGGATGACTGAAAAGTTTCAACAGCATACAAACAAAGTTCAGATTCTATGGCTACCTCAGATGCTGGCTCACCTTCCAGGGATAAACCAATCATAGTTAGAGGGATGGACGGTTCAACAGAGCTATGGCTCTAGGTGAGTTTGGCAACTGTATTTAAAAGAAATCTAGGATTAATATTATTCTGCTCTAACAATGAGGATAAATATGCTCATCTTGCTTTATGAAGGACTTTTTAAACAGCAGTAAACCGCTTTTCCAGACTAGGTAGGATTCCAGTTGGCATGTAGAGCGCCATTTCCTCTCAAGTTTCTTAGCATTTTGCTTCAAAGTGAGCTGCTCTGCCTTAAACCAGGAAACTAGCTCATGCTGTAATACCACTGGATGCAAATATTCTGTGTCATATGTTCATTATTTACTGTGACACCTACAAACTGGTTATACAAGAATGTTTCACAGCTTGGATTTAGTTTCATTTTAAATTAAGCTTATTTTCTTGAAGGACTAATTTGAATATGTTTTTGAAAGTAAATTATGCTATTAATTGTTCTCAGCATCTTTTATTTCCTTTATTATTTTGGATTCCAAAATGCCACCTCTACAAGACCCTGCAGTAGATTTATGCTCTCACTGATTTATAAATTTAATCATAAGGTTGATATACTGTAGAAACCGTAAATCAGCTGGTCAGCAAAAATTAATCTATACCAGCTGGAAAACTTGATCAGTCCATGTAAGGTTTGCACTACAGATGCAAAAACATTTCAAAGCAGAGAGGCAAGGATTCCACTCTTCAATCACAGCAAAAAAAAAAAAAAAAACACACAGAGAAGAATACACACCCACATTTAAACAACCCAGCTTTCTGAATTATCAGCCTGTACCATCTCTAAGGGGTGGAAACTTTAACATTTACATTTTCTGTTTGTGCAGAAGTGAACTAAATTAAACCTCTAGAGGAAAAACAATAAATAAATAACACACATTTACAATTAACTTAAATAAATTGAAGCTAAACAATACTCCAAGTCAAAACAAAACACAAAACATCTCCCCTCCTTCTCAGTATGGATTTCCCTTACAGTCCCTTACAGGGGTAAATCCCTCACAGTCCAAAAAAGATTTTAACTAATCAAAACACCCAGAAGCATTTTTCATATTACATCCACAATGCTTTGTAATCTAGTGCATTCTAGTTTTCCCTCCTCTTAAGCTTTCCAGCAGTTTTTTGTAAATAGTATCTTTGTTTTGTAAAAATATACACTATACACTTTGTGTACTTTTTAAAATAAATTCTGAATGTCTTATCAAAAGTAATGTTTTAATAGAGAAATGTAGTGTGCCTGGTTCCTCCATACAGATAAAAATATTCAGTAGTTCTTAAAAATATGCATGGTAATGGAAATTTAGATGAAAGGAAAATGTTTGAAGGGGGTTTGGAGCTGTGGAAATAAGAAACCACAGTCTAAGTGAAACTCATCCAGGGGTTTCCAAAACTGCAGGTAGAGTCACATTCCAGGTGTTAAACCTTTATGAACAGCTTTCAACCCTCACCAAACATGACTCCACCCTCTGAAAATCCTGCTGCAATGTTCTGTGGATAGTTTTCTATTCTTTCAGGCATTCCCAACTTATTGCAGCTTTTGAAAGCAAACCTCCACTCTATTATCCCTGACCAACTATGATGGGTTAGCAGACACCCTCTAAATTGGTTTGAATCATACATCTCTGATCTACACAATTCTCTCAGTTAAAATCTCCCAGATCCCAGCCATCTCAAATCTCCTGTCGTTACCCATGGCTGTGTCTAATCTAATTTTAATAATCTAACCCTAATCTCGATCATACATTTCCCTCCTACTTCTGGTCATGTGCTTCCTAGAATCAGCATCACGTTCCACTGTAATACTGACAATATCCAGCTCTACATCTCCACACAATTCCTTTAGTGACTACTGGTACTTTTTATTTTACTTTTTTTTCACCAAGCTTTATAAATCTTTAAAACGTTTCATGAATCAGACATACTGCTGATTTGATATAAAAACCTTTATTGAAGCAGCTGCGCAATATTTACAAAGATGTTTCACTGTGTAAACAAATGATGCATTTTATTGAATGTATTTTAATCAATTATCAAACAGACAGAAGTCAAATGTAGCCCAGGAGTCATTAAGTTCAAACTTAGAGGTTTGCTTCTTTATTAAAGGGTGGATATAGTAAAAATAATAATGACATATCTTCAGAGACTTGTTTTATTATTCCTGAGTTTCAATCTCACACTCTTTATGTTTTAATCTAGTTTTGTTTGCCTGTAGCTGATTGGCTGCAGCACAAATCCAGTTTGAACTCAGCAGCTACTAGAACATCACAGACTCTTCAGAGATAAATTCACTCCTGCTGGATCAGAACATTGAAACCACAGAGGAGGAGGAAATCATCCCTGGATTAAGAGTTTAATGGAACACAAAGACAACATTTCCCACAATCCTCAGCTCTTCTGAAAGGTCTTCAGCTTCCTCCTGGCATCTTTATGCTTCTTGCGGTACTCCTGAGGAAGCAGGTAAAAACAGATGTGTTTAGCTCTTTACTCTGCCTCGTCTGACAGACATGTTTTCTGTTATTATGGTAGAATAACCATCAGAGCCTAATCCTGTATATCTAAAAACCAGAGGAGTCTCCCAGCATATAATCAGAGATTTTGAAGAAAAACAAGGTAAACTCCTTCTCATTGCTGATTTTAGTTTTCTGCTTCTAATCCTCTCAGATCCAACTTTTGCAGAAGTTTGTGAAGATCTTTCTGCAGATTATTGATTTAAGGATCTGCTGCTTGAACAAAACAGTTCAGAGATTTATACTTATAGGGGGCGACAAAGTAGACTTTAAAACAGCATTTTCAGTCTGATTTAGGAACCAAAGTGATTCCAGTCACTCTTTTTAGTTCAAAGAATCACTGATGGAGCAGACAGAAATGATACTGACCTGTTTGAGCGTAATCGTCCTCTCCTCCCACTGCTCCCTCTGCTGCTCCAGCTGGGAGGTCCGACAGAACAACCTGGGTCCCTCTGAAGGAGGAAACAGAGCAGAGGTTAAAACAATTAGCCAGACTTTAACTGAACAAACAGGTAAATCATTATGTGTTATGTTCAGAACTTAAAAAGAAGGACCAGCACCACAAAGTGCCATAAAACCTCCCACCTTTCAGTCTGTGGTCATCAGAAGAGAAGAAGAAGAAGAAATCAGGCTTTGAATGAGCCTCCACTCTGTAAAGAAAAAAAAACAAAAGGTAGAAAATTTATCTTAAATAAAATCGATGATCTTTTTTTGTCCAAAACCATGTGAGTGCAGAGTTTTCTTCAGGAAGACATAATATCTAAACAAATAAATGTTTTGATCCATCAAGAAATTCCACATTTAAAGTCATTTAAGAGACTCAGAGAACAGATATTGGTATGTTAAAAAAAATAAATTCAAAAATAACAACTGGATTTGGTTAAAAATAGTTTTAATCTCAACTTAATCTGGAGCCTGTTTAGATGAGAGGATCTCAAATGTTCAGGTGATTAAATTCTTTAGCACCCCCTAGTGCACAGCCTGATGCACAAACACACCGGTTGGGTGCAGCTTTTTAATCTCTGATAGGAATTTTTTCCATGTCACACTGACTGCATGTAGAGAGGCTCTGACTAGGCAGGGTGAGCAGATCTGTGCAGATATTTTTTTTATCTCTGTCTCTGTGCTATAAACAAATTTAAATAATTTACCCCATTTGACTGGGTCAGTTTATGAAAAGTTACAACAAAAAAACCGGTCCAGCAGTAGGCTCAAGCAAAGCCTATAGCTTATAGCAAATCTTTATACGCCTTTATTAAAAACATAATGAGATCTACACCTAAATTCTCAGATTGTGATTCTCAGAGAGATCTGGGAAGTTTATCCAAGTTTTGCTTTTCTTTTTTCATAGAGGTGAGAGCAATATGCCGTGCTTAATAACCTGCCCCACTTTATTTTGTTTTTTTGTGAGGCGCAACAGGATCATTACTTTACTATATCCGTTTTTTCTGCTCCTTAAGTTTTTTTTTTTCTTCCTCGAGGAGATTGATAAACTGAACTTTCTGTCTCGTTGTGAGGCTCCAAGAGGATCACTACTTACCACAGAAGTAAATTGTACAAGCATAAAAAATGAAGCAGCTCCCTTATTTTTGATGCTCCTGCTGCTTGCAGTCTGAGCGTATCATTAGAAGTGCATCCCTGCAGTTGATGCAGCTGATGAGATTTTTACAAATTGTTGTGTGAAAAGTTTGATTCATCCAAAGGATCTTTCTTTTAATAAACCTGATTTTATAGACCTGATTTCATGCTTTCATTTAAATATCAGTCTAAAGGAAAGCCATAAACATCTACAGACCTCTAAATAAATAAAGTTATTCAGTATTTACTGATGCATTTATTTGTGCATCAGCAGCAAACTGTTCTGACTTCGTCTTCAACTATGATATTTATTTACTTACAGTCTAATTGTCTTGTTTCTTCTACTGGAATTTTATCATAAACTGGATTAAATTAAAAACGATGAACTCGGATCTTTTCCTCACTCTGTGTTTTTAGCCTCAGAGCTGCTTTGCTTCTGCTCTTCCTCCTCTTCTTCCTGCTCCTCCTCCTCAGAGCTGCTGTCATGGAAACGTGGGTCTTGATGCCAGGAGACCTTGGGAGCCTGGATCTTCTCAGCTTTGTACTCGGCTGTTGAAGAGATTAAAGCGATTAATAGAAATATGCTCCATACGTCGGTCTGATTAACGGATCTGTTGAGACTCACTCGTTTCTCCGCTTCCAGCCTCTGATTCGTCTCCAAAGAAGGAAAACCTGAATCCAGTGGATTCCTCAGACTTGGTGCTGGGATCAGCTGACAGGAGGGAGGACAGCGCCTGTTCTTCCTCTCCTCCTCCCTCTTCATCCTCCAGCTGATCCCAGTTTCTCTCCTCCTCTCCCTCAGCAGAGCCGTCGTTGGTCTGTCCGAACACGGCCTTCAGGTCTCCAGTCACCTCGAAGTAAATCTCTTTGGAGACTTCAGGAAGCTTCTGAGCCTCTTCCCTCTTCTTCCTGCGGGCCGCCTTACTGCAAACACAACAAGAGATCCACAGGAAGCTGATGGAAAACCTCTGATTGGATCTCTAGTATTTGCAAAGTTGAACTTTCTCTCTTAGACAGATTTATTTAAATAAAAAATCTGCTGCTTTGTGAGTTTTCTGAGCTAAACTTTGAGTGAAAAAGTGTCTGCAGACTGATGGGGGGTGGCCAGGAAGTGGTCGGTTTCAGCTTCAACAGGAATTAGACTCAGCCATGGAGGAAGGAGCCGGTTTGAACTGAGGATGGAGGTTGTTTCTTTACCTCTCCTTCTGGGTTTCATCTGTTTTGGTCTCAAACGCAGCGTGTTCCTCTTTGCTCGGGTCGTAATGCAGCGCAGACACGTCTCTGCAGAAGAAGAAAATAAATAAAAAAAGACTTTAGTTTCAGAAAAGTTAACAGCTGGCAAACTTCTGACTTCCAGACCCACCTGAACTTCTTGGCTTTGCTGGACGACTTGCTGCTGCTTTGATGGCTGCTTCCAAGGACGCTCTGCAGGATGGACAGATTCTTCTTCTTCTCCTCTTCTAGAGCCTCATCGTCGTCCATCAGACTCTTCTGTGCTTCTAAATAAACAATTAAAAACCCTTGAATGTTTTGGTACATAGAGACCTGCAGTAAGTGATGTCATCAACCACAATCTCTTAAGAAGGACACAGCTTTACTGTTGACTGTACAGAAGAAGAAGTTCTCATTTCTTCTGCTGGAGGGGGATGAGTGGATCTGCTTCATGCAGTCAAACTGTTACAGGCTTAGGCTATGTTCACACAGGAGCCTGAAGTGACCCAAATGCGATTTTTTTGCCCCTATGCGACCTGGATCTGATCTTTTCATAGCTGTCAGAACAACACAGATCCGATTTTTTCCAATGCGACCCAGGCCGCTTGGCCATGTGGACCTGAATCCGATACGAATCTGAGCTTTTCAAATGCGACCTGCATCTGAACGGCCAGGTCGCATCCATCCCACCTGAATGTCAATAATACCCGACAAAGATCACTATTCTGGGTCTTGCTATGCAGAAGCGAGAAGAAAACAACAACCACAGCGGATGATGATGCGGTGAGCAGTGTTTATGTTTAACCATATTGAAAAGATTGAGTTTTAATGGTTGGAAAAGATCGTTAGATGCGCTCCAGTGCTACCATTCATGTTAACTTCTGCAAACATAGAGCACGATTGATTGTGACATCACTGCGTCCTCTACCGTTCATGCGGCAAACTTGCGTTGTATAAATGGGGTTTGTGCATAACTCCAGAGAGTGCAAAACGCTGCAGCACGTCTTTTATCTCTCACTTGTAAATATGAGCACATTACCCCAATTTAAGCCTCATTACACTGGCTCCCTGTACATTTTAGGATTCATTTTAAAGTTCTTTTATTTGTTTTTAAGTCTCTCCATGGTCTTGCTCCATCTTATCTTTTTGAGTTGCTCCGCCTTCATGCACCCTCCCGTTCACTCAGCTGCTTCTTAAGGAGCCAAAAACTAAACGGAACATTAGGGGCCATCGTGGTTTTCTCTGTGGCAGCTCCAAAAATGTGGAACAACCTTCCATTGCAAATTAAATTATCTACTTCTTCGTCTGATTTTAAATCTTAAAGAACTCATCTCTATTCTTTGGCTTTCTAAACTGTGTGAGATGTTGATTATGGTCTGTGATACCTTATTTTAAATCAATTTTATTATAGATTTTATACTTTCGATTTTAATTTAATCTTTTATGCTTGTATGTTTTTTTTTTTAAGTCTGTGAAATGGTTTTATGTTGTTTCACTGTACAGCACTTTTGTCCTTTGAGAAATTTTAAAGTGCTTTATAAATAAAGTTGGATTAGATTGAATGCAGGTCACACAGGAGATCACATACAAGTCGCATATATTTGGAAATGGCAACGCAAAAAAAAACAAAAAAAAAAAAAACGGATTTAACAAAAACAAAAAATCAGATTTGAGCCTTAAGGCCTGCAGTGTGAACGTAGCCTTAAACACAAATCAAAGCTGAACCGTTTACCATTTATTTCATGTTCCTGCATGCACAGACCGTCTCTGCTGCTCCTGGCATGGAGCCTGTTATGATCTGACAGAGAAAAGTATCATGCCGGGTTGGAAGCTGTATGTTTGTAACACCAGACATCTGTCCTGCTGAACTAGCAGCACAGATGTGTTTTATTTAGTTTATAGATGATGATATACTAAATATCCAGCATTACTGAAAGTCTACATGTTTCCAGGAAGGTTTCAATGTTCTTTTCCAGCTTTTTAAAATTAAAAAGAGAAAAATCTTCAGAATATGCAACTAAAAGCAACTTTAGAGACTTCAGATACTTTAAAACAGTATATGATCAAAGAAGTGATTAAATGGAATGAAATCCGCAGAAATTAGACCATATTTTCTGATGTAATGATGCAGCTAATAAATGCCAGAGATCATGAAGCAAAAGATGGTTTATCTTTGATTTATCAGCAGGAAAGAAACTAACTGGTTCTGTTTGGTTTGATCCGTTTGATCATTAATGAAACATCCTGCTTTCATCCTGACTTCATCTTTATCCAAATCTTCTCACCTGTCTGCTTTTCCTCCTCTTCATCCTCTTCTTCCTCCAGAAACCGGGAGTCCATCCGGAACCGTTCGTCTGTCCCAAAGCGAGACTGTAGCGCCATCAGCTGGATGAAAAACACACCTTGGTTAGACTTTGAATCCCAGAGCTCTGCTGACAAAGAGCCTGGACCTTATAAAATAAAATATTCAAACTGACATCCAAACCAAAAAAACTGCATAACTGCACCACATATTTCAATGCATTTTTTTTTTTTTTGCACCACACTGTTTACATTTGATCACTGCTGCACTTTAAGAAATGGAAAAGTCATGAGAGCTGTACAAAACCAAATTTCGTTTGAACTCTGTGTATAAAAAATGACAATAAAAGCCATAAGAGCAGAACTTTAACTCGACCCGACTGCAGCTTTGGACAGAACCGCAGCAGATTTTCCTCAGCTCTTCATCAAAGACTGATTTACTGCTGTCCAAGAAAAGCTGTTATTAATCTCAACCTGAGGGCTCAGACCTTCTGTCCACCTGGACCTTCAAACTCCGGCCGGATGTCAAATCTGCTGCGATCCTCTTCTTCATCAACTTCCTCATCATCGTCGCTGCCGGCAAACAGCTGCGGACCCGACGGCTTCTGGCGCTCCTGGAAACAGGCAGAGGTGAGCCGCTGCCCCACGAGGAGAACGGGAACCAGAGATAATCAAAGGACCACAAATGCTCTGACATCATCACTCACCGCTCTCTGTGAGGCGATCTGATTGGCTGCTTCTCCGTCAGATGAGGCGTTGTCTTCTGATTGGCTGTCCTGGATAACGGACGTCTTATTTTCCTCCTCATCATCTGAGCTGAAGACTATGTGTTTCCCTGAGGTTGAAGGTGGAGCGTCCTGATGGAAAGCAGGAAAAAGGAAAAAAGCTTGACTGCTGCAAAGTGTTTACATCATCGTTCTTAGGTGGAGGCAGAGTCAAAAAGATTTCTTCTGGGATTTTATCTTGTTTAAAGTTCAGAAACCTTAATGTTTAAACAAAAATTAACATGTAGAAAAGAAGAGCCAGAATTCAAATGATGATTTTTCTTAATTTAAGGGGAGAAATCAGGGTGAATCAACCTGATCCAACATGAAACAGTATTGAACAACTTGTTAAATCCCTAATTTTACTTCATTTCTCTAGTCTCAACAACAGCCAATTACTGCTAAACCTGTAGAAACAAGAAATCAGCCAATGAGAGCCTGTCTGACAACATGAAGTAGGCTTAAGGATCTCTAAAAGCAACACAACAAATCCTGATCTGAAGTCATCCAAGAACAGATGAAACCGTCACCAATCAGTCTGGAGAGAATCACAAAGCGACTTCTAAGGCTTTAGGACATAAGAGATCTGCAATCAGAACCATGCAAGGGCGTAGGTTTGATTTGAACTTTGGTGGGGACACTATTGGTCGGGTGTCATTGGTGCTGCAATATGCATGCCCTTTTTTATGCTTGATGTGAGCATCCGTACTGATAAGACGAATTCATTGTTAAAAGAGAAAAGCATAATTTTGCTACATTAATAAAAATCTTATAAGCTCTACACTCATTAGATGCTGTTTATCAATGTTTGAAGTATCACCGGCTCTGATGAATGTGGAATTAGGACTGTTTTCCACTTTGTAAATGGTTTCATTAATGACTAATAGAGAAGGTAAATACAGTATTTTCTTTTGAAGATATACAATTGTGCAGAGTTAAACCCCACTCTTATATTTTACCTACTATTCTCTCTCTGTATCAAGCAAAATAATACATTCATTAAAATATTAACTTCACTATAAAATTTGAACATCTGGGCTGTAGTTACTCTGTGTAGCCCATTTCATGTATTTTATCTAGGGCTGAAAAAATGAATCGTATTAATTGATTATTTCAATAATCATCAACTAATTTAGTATGTGATTAATCATTAACTGGAGAATGGAGACTATAAACATAATAAAAATGTAAAATGTCCCTTTCCCCTACAGAGCAACCCACTTAGATCAGTAATTATACCAAAAGTGTAAAAAAAAAAAAAAAAAAAAAAAAAAAAAAAAATAATAATATATATATATATATATATATATATATATATTATTATATATACATGTACATAAGTGTATTCAAATATAAAATTATTTTTAACAATTATAAAAGACAATATAACACTATCTTATCTGTAATTTAACATTATTCAAAATAAACAGTCAGATTCAAGCATTTTTACCAGACATTAATGTTTGTACTAATTTACTTATAGACTGTGTGGAAATCTATGTAAGATAAAATCAATGTTTATATTCTTCCTTTGTTTGTTCTTGTCTTTATCCTATTTCTAGAAGTATAAATAGTCAATAAAATAGAACTATTATCATGTGGAACCCTAATTATGCTTTTTAAATGAAAAACAGCAGATGTTTAGGCCCCATTTCTTGTTGTTGTACTCTATAAGAGAAATAACACCTGAACTTTCTCAAAGAGTCATAAAAAAATGAAAACAGTAATAGCAACTAAATATTGGTAAAAAGGAAACACTCACTTTTTCTTTTTTAGTTGGCTGTGGATAAGAATCAGAAATGCTGATGGCTTACAGCCTTTATTTGCCCATTTTGTGTCTTCAGAACTCCTGGCTGACTCAGAATATTTCGCTTTATAAAAGAAAAAAAAAAAGGTTTTTGTTTTTTAGTGTACATGATATTCATTTTTTTTTATTGGGACTAGTTTTGTAGCCTAATATTTATTGTAGTAACCGCAGCATTCTAGTGTGAATAAATTTTCAATGTTGTGCTCCAAGCACAGAGACTAGAAAACAGCCAATCAGAGAGAGAGAAGGCGGAATCTAAAGCAGAACAACCAATGAGAGTGGAGTTAAACAGCGCAGCACAGTTCCATGCGCTGCTGCGTGAAAGGGACAGGAGAGACCAGGCAGAGGAGCTGCGAGAGAAAAAGAAGCCATTGCTGTAACAACTACTGCTGTAAATTATAAACATGTTGCTCACATCCAATTATTGGTCGGGACAATTAGGTCGGTTCAAAATGTTGGTAGGGACATGTCCCTATGGTCCCTATGCAAACCTACGCCCATGGAACCATGATCCACAAATAGAGAGAACATGAAGCACTCTAGAACCTTCCCAGGACTGACTGAGCTGCTAAAATTACTCCAGGAGCTCAAAGACTCATCGAGCAGGTCCAAGAAAAACACAGAAAAACAACTAAAGCTCTGCAGGCCTCACTGCCTCAGTTAAGGTCAAAATTCAGCAATCAGGCAAAACAAACTGGGACCAGAACCACTGCTGATCCAGAAGAACACAAAGACATGCCTCACACTGAAAAAACATCTTTATAATCACCAAGACGTCTGAAAATGTTCTGTAGACTGAAAAGACAGTAGGAGATTTTTTTTGGGTAGTGTAGTCATGGTGCCTCTGATATGAAACCAACAGAACCGAAACAGAACAACAGACCTCCATTCCAACATGGTGTTGGTGGTGTGATGGTCTGGGCCCGTTTGCTGCTACATTAACTGGACCAGGGCCTTTAACTGATAGAACCACAGGTTCTGCTCTCTAGCAGGAGAACCTGTAGGAGAATGTCTGACCATCAGTTTGTGGCCCTAAGTACAAAATATCTTGGGGTAGAGAGCAAAGGGTGACCCAAAGCACCTCTGATACCTTCAACAAGAGAGAAAGTGTTGGAGAGACCTAGTCAAACTCTGCGGTTAAATCAAACTCACAAGCTGTGCGATGATAACCTGACTCCGCCAGATGGATTGCTCCGCATATCCATCTGGAAACCTTCCGTTGAAGTAATTTTGGGAGGGGGCGAAAATACTGGTTAGCTGATTGGCCTATGTTGGTGATAGACGGGCCAAATAAACCAATCAGATCAACGAAGCATATGACGTACTAACAGAGCGACGACGAAAACACAACCACAAGCCAGGCACAAGCCAGTTGATAGATCAAACTCTTGCCGAAACCAGTCGGGAGAAGAGCAAAAACATCTTTTCCTCTGAGAAAAGCCTCCAGAGCAGTGTTCTGCTCTTCTTTCAGTCAAGAAATACTCTGTAATTCCGATAAAACTATGCTGATTGGACGTTCGTTTGGTGAACGGCTCCAAATTTTTCAACGGAAAGTAGCCAGACTGATCTGCGAGTGAAACCTTGAAAGCTTGCGAGATCAGGATGGTCTCACGAGGCTCGTATGATTAATCTATAAAACACTCATGGTGGAAACTCAGGGACTCATCGCCATTTATCATGACTAAGGCAGGAAGTTATTAGATTTATTTTTTTTTCACATTTCTTTGATGATCTTGAGTTGAAACAATGGTGGAAAATTGAAGATATCTATTAGGGTGTAAATACTTTCTCAAAGCACTGTATATCTGCAGAGATGTTATCACCAGGGAGGCATGTTGCTATAAATATTTAGTAGTGGTTCCTAGAATGGGAGGCAGATCTTTTAGTTATCAGGCTCCTCTCCTGTGGAACAAACTACCAGCTTTAGTCTATCAGGCAGAAACCCTGTCTACTTTTAAGGCTAGTTTTAAACTTTAACTCTTATTAAAGCTTGTAGTTAGAGTGGCTCAGGTTATCCTGAGCTATCTTTTTTTTACGGCACTAGCAACTCGTTTTTTCGACAGTAGGCTGAGAGGAAAGGTGGTATGAGAGAGGGGGAGAGACATGCGGCAAAGGACCACAGGTCAGATTCAAAACGGAAAGAAACAAAAAAAAGGGTCGGCCGCGTCAATGACCAAGGTTTCCGTACATGTGTCGTGCGCGCCAACCACTGCGCCACCTGCATGCCCGTCCTAAGCTATCTCTATAGTTGTGCTACTATAGAGTCTGCCATTCTGCCTCATTCTATTCTACATTTCTAAATAATTTTTAAGTTCAAAGTCTAACGTTATGTTCGTTCTGCTTTTTCTTGCTTTTCTGCCACCGACACCCACCAGGTTGGCCAGGGCTCCATGGATGAGCCTCTGGTGCTCCTCCGCCTCTTTTTGTCTCTGTTGGAGAGCAGCCAGTCTTCTCGTGTTGGCCTTCCTCTGCAGCTCCTCTTCTTCCTCTGCAGCCAACACCAACCGCGTAGGAGCCTGGTCTTTCACATCCTCTTCTTCGCTAGAGGAGGACTGGCTGCATGGAGCAGGAGCAGGACGAGGAGCCGCTTGCTCCTCTTCATTAGAACTGCTGGATGAAGCTTGATCTTCTGCTGCAGACATTTGTTTCTCCTCTTCCTCCTCATCCTCTTCACTCCCAGAGGAAGATTCCCCCTCCGTGTCTCTGAGAACATCTTCCTTCTTCGCTCGCTTGTCGGTTGTAGAAGTTTCCCCGTTTTGCTCAGTTTCCTCTGAGACCTGCAGAGACTTTGATGGTTCACCTTCTGTTTTTCTCTTCTTTTTCTGTTCTGCTTTTTCGTCGCTGCTGCTGCTGTCCTCCCCCAGGATGGAGGCAAGGATCTCGTCGGGGGTGATGGCTTCCTTGGGTGCAGGTCGATCAGGGAGCCTAGACTCCAGTTTCAGGCCTGTTCCAAGGATGCTGGGAGCTCTGGTCTCTGCCAGCTTCTGTAAGTCGGCCAAAGAAATCCTCAGATGGGTGGAGTTAGGAGAAAACAAGGCGGGGAAATCAAAATCTGAAGATGAGTCGGAGGCGCTTCCATCATCTTCATCACTCTGTGACTCTGATGAGTCTTTTATTTCTGCAGCTGGATTCTCCTTCTGCAGGGAGGATGAAGGTTTACTACAAGAAACCTTTGCAGGTGTATTTTTTCCTTTTGTTTGTTTCTTTTCATCTGCGCTTTTTGCTGAGACGTGTTCAGGTGTCGGTGATGGAGGTTTATCCTGCAGGCGGGGAGCTGGAGTTCTCCTGGATTCAAACAGTTCATCCGTGTCAGCAGAGTCATAGTCCTCCTCATCTCCTGGATTCATGCAGAGAAAACAGATTATATTGATGTTTAATTACTCATTACTTCCTGTTTCTAGGTTTGCTTTTTAAAGAACTTCAGTAAAACCTGCATCAGTTTCTGGATTTGGACAGAAAATCTGTTTCCCTGCAGTTTTCCTTTGTTCTAATAATCCTATTCCTTTTAACACTTCAATGACTTTCACTGAGGATTAATAACCATAAAATTGCAAACTTCAGGGTTATTTTGTTCATTACTTCCTGTTATCTCATCTCAAAGCTGCATGTCGTTCCACCAGCTGCTGATGGATGGTGGTTCTTCATGTATGGCTTCCTCAGGGATCAGAGATAGATTCCTTCCATTACCTGGGATGAGTTCCTGATATTTTACATTTTTAGAATATTTTTTACCTTTGGGCCCTGGTTTCTCCAAGTAGTCGATCCCCACCACCTCCAGGTTGTCATCCTCTGCATCCTGCTGCAGTGCATGATGGGAGCTCTGCTGCGCAGCCACCAGCCTGCGGATTTCCTCGTCTGAGTCGACGTCGCTGTCAGAAAACCTCCGTCCGTTCCACTGAGGTGCTCTGTGATTGGTTAGCAGGTCTGAGCCGTTGGTGAGCTGATGGACCACAATGTTTCTGTCAGAGCTCTGCTGGAATCTAACAGAAGAAGAAGAAAACAAACATTGGTTATAAATCGGACCCTGCATGTTTCAAGTACTTTGTCCGGTATGCTTGTTCATCTACCAGAGGACTAAAACCTGGAAAAGAAAAGAAAATTTTACTGAATAGTAATTAATAGGGCCTTTGCAGCAAGAAGGTTCTGGGTTCAAATCCTGGCCCGGGGTCTTTCTGCATGGACTACGCATGTTCTCCCTGTGCATGCGTGGGTTCTCTCCAGGTACTCCAGCTTCTTCTCACAGTTCAAAAACCTGACTGTTCGGTTAATTGGCTTCTCTAAATTCTCCTTAGGCGTGAGTGTGTGAATGGCTGTTTGTCTCTGTGTTGCCCTGCGAACGACTGGAGACCTGTCCAGGCTGGACCCCGTCTCTCACCCATAGACAACTGGAGATAGGCAACAGCACCCCTCGTGACATCGCTTGGGATAAGCGTGATGAAAAATGGATGGATGAATAATAATTACATTTAATCAGCAGGAACATGATAAGCAATACGTATTGGTCCTGCTGTGTATAAAGCCTTGAACAACAATCCTGCTGCTACTAGCCTGGCCTATGCCAATATATAATATGCATGGTTGTTTTTTTGTTTGCTCTGCTGTCTGGACCACAAATGGACCTTCAGGACAAAAAATGTAACAGAATCAGAATCAAGTTTATTGTCAAGTAGGTTTGCACTTACAAGGAATTTGTCTTGGTGTTGGTGCAGAGAAATTATATATATATATACAGAATACAAAATCTCTAGCTATAATACAATATAAAACATACAATATACCATATAAAATATATATAAATATTTATTACTAGACATTTTTTCTCCTTTAAAGGCTGATTTACACTTCGAAACCAGGTCTTCTGCGTGTTTCGCAGTGAACTTGGAGACGTCCCCGCCCCCTCCGCAGCACCTCTCCCAAATTGTAGGTGACCGCAGACAGGAGGCCTCTGATTGGTCAAATCTACATCCGCTCTACACTACGCGTATTTCCTGTTTGGTTCCTTACCGGCTTGCTTTGTTTGTATGACCGCCATTGCAGAAAACGACTCGGGAAGTTGGACCAGCAAGAACAGCGAGGCGCACCAGAACACTGCGACCCTTTTCCCACCTGGATTCCCGCTCTTTTTGGTCCTCATGTCCTTCCGTTCTCGCACAAACTTCCTCACCGCCTCGGCCGGTCTACACCCACAGCTAGTTGTCCCTTTTGCGTTGTGGTGTGGAATAACATAACGCAGACCACGCTTCATAATGGGGCATAAATCAAAAATGTCTGCGTCATACCTGCGACAAGCTGACTGCGACACACTGCTGCAGGACGATAACCAGCCCTTAACAGCGTTGGAGCCTCCAGAGAGGTAAACTGTCCTGCATGATTTATACCTTTTTCACTCTGCCCGAAAAACCAGAACACCAGAGCCGATCGACACGTTTATTTACGTGACACTATTGAACGCAATGTACGGACGTCAACAGACCGAGCCAGTCGCTTCTGATCTAACAAGCCGTAACAATTCTGTTTACATTCGACAAACATGGAGCAGCACTGGTAAGAGGGATTCATACGAATAAAATAGCTTATAAATAAGGAATACTGGCTGTGCTCTGTCTTCCTTCAATGTTGCTCTCCATTATTTACTTCCCTGATTTCCGTTGCACTGTCGACATCGTCAATGCTCACCCAGTGCGATGCAGTCATGGGACAGGGAATGTTCCTGAATTCACAAGAACATGAGTATGGACTTGTGTTCTCGCCAAGTATGTTCTTGAAAAGAACACAGGAAAGTCTGGACTCGGGGAGAACGGGAACACGCAGCATAAAAATTGATCAATTGGAACAAAAGTGTACTGATGACATCACCCCATGCTCAGCTCGTCTGGAGCTGCATTTAAACTCCTGTTATTAATAGTCTCTAGATAATAATAAATTCAGACTTTTTTCATTTTTTGGGGTAATAATGATTAACTCAAATAAACATCAAATGAACATTTTTGCCATAGCCGTATGCCATTGACATACGGCTATGCAGAGAGAGGGCTGCTGCAGACGGGCTAACGTTAGCCCTGGCTGCAGTTACCCTCGGAGGTCCACTGGTTGCTGCTGTCCTCTCAACATCGGAATTGTTTTTCAGAAAATGCACTAAATCGGTAAATCTGCCATATAGTGACGCATAAAAGTTGAATTTTCTTGCCACAACTGATCTTAAGGCGTACTTTTATAGAACAACAGCAACAGAAAAGAGAACTTTCAACTTAATACGCTCACAGAGCGTACTTAATACGCTCTATGAGCGCTAACCTGGAAGCTGCTGCTGCAGCAGTGCATGGGTAAATAGGAAGGGGCAAGAACAACGGTCTGCCTGTTCTTGTAAATTGGAACAGTACTAGGGCTGAGGCTGATGGTGTTTCACGAGCACATGAGGAGGCATAAGTAGATATATTGAGAAATGGACACATAGTGGTGGGGGACAGCAGCCATGCAGCTCTCCAACAGGGGGTCGGACTCGGCTTTTTGGTCAAATGGGAAAAGAGACAAAAGCCGATTATTAGCGGGTCAACTTGGTGTAGAAAAACCCGGGTTTTCATTGGTAAAACGGCTTTAGATTTCCCCCTGCTTCGGAACACCTGATTTCAACTTATTAATGGGCTTTTGCTGAACTTGAATCATTTTAACCAGGTGCTAGTAGAAATCTTAAATCTGGATTATATACATCAATAAAAATGCAAAACAGAAACATAAAACGGTATTCATCAATTAATTTTCATACATAAGAAATCACACAGGATTACCTGCTTCTACTAGAAGTGTTTAACTTCAGGGAGTCAGCTGCATCTGTCCGACTCTTCTTGGTTTTGATTGGCTCATATGAGGGGAACTCACCCCTCCTCTTCTTACTGATGTCATCATCCCCTCCCTCGACTTCCCAGGTGAGCTGGGTGACTGATGTAGTCTCGTTTGTTTCTTTCTGGTCCAGCTTGCGGATGTTGTGACTATACTTTGATGGATCGTACTTTAATGTTCGAGCTTTGTTGCCTTTCCGACATCTGAGCTGCAGCACAGGAAGGACTCGACCAAATTTACTGACAACCCAGTCCTGAAAGCAGAAAACAAAATCAAAACCTCTACCTACAAACACAAAACTGCTTTTCATAGAGACAAATGGGGATGTTTTTTTTGTCATCAGCAACAATGAAGTCAAAACCAAACACGGTTGAATCTGCACACAGTGAACTCTACAGACATGGAGAGACATTAGATTGCAGTCAATGTCTGCTTGTCTCCAGATGAATTTGATAATACCAATACTTTTAACCTGGTAAAAGATTCTGGAATTAATCAATTTCATTCAAACTCAAACTGGAAAGACTAATGACAGATGAAGTTGAACAGCTTACTTTGTTGTGTATCTGTTTCAGTTTGAACACCAGATCACCCTTAACAGAGTGAATTTGCAAAATGTATGTCAGTTAGAGGGAAAAACCTTAATATTATTTTAAAATCCACCCCAGCATACTGTGTGCACATCATAAGGTAGGATGAGAGAGTAGTTCCTAAAACAGAACCTAAAATAGAGTCTGTTTTAACCAAAATGTAGCAAGTAGAAATTGGAGTTAAAACAAAGTACTTCAAAAGATTGACTAAAAGAAGTTACACTGATTTTGGTGGATCCCTGTGACCCAGTACACCACTCAGTAGATTAACTTTGGATTCATGACCAACCATCCATCTTCTGATCTGAATCTTTAACTTCCGTTGGGGGCCAGGAAAGTCATTAAGCCCAAACATGTCTGACCAAGCACCAGACGCCAAAGTCTACAACTTGAATACTCTTAATTAGGTTACGATAAATTTCCCCAGAATCCCCAAAAGTCAGTTTTAATATGTCCACCCTTTAATGAAGGGGTCTCACTCTGGCCTGCATGCGAGTGCTGAATCCATATTCAACCAATTAAAACCTTCACTTGAGACAGAGAATTTTTAGATGCAGATATTCAGGACTCAAGCATAAATGATTATCTGTACGAGGTAGAACATTGTCTCAAAGACTGTCCTTTCTCTTTATGTGAGAAATTCATGCATGGCCCAACACAGAAGAGCGACTTCCTCTGGACAAGACTCTGCGGTACATCTACACCTTATGGACAAAGGACATTCTTTTGAGGATGTTCACATTTTGGACAAAGAAAATAGGTGATGTTAAAAAAGACAAACCAACCTTAAACAGAGGGGGTGGACTCAGTTTTCAGCTTTCAAAAACCTAAGATGCAGCAATAGAGTTGATCCAGGTTAACAATTCCCTCTAACGACCCCCTTTCAGACACTTAGATGGGTATGAGGCATTGCAGGCTAACAAAAGAAGCTAAACGAAACCCATTACAAAGGGGTGGACCCCTTCGTCCGTCTCACTTTGCATGTTTTCAAAACACAAACAAGGCTTTGATGGGCTACCTTATAGAGGCTCGAACTCAACGCTATTCCTGACATTTTGAATTGAAAAAGCTTCCTGGATGGGAAGCAAATATGAAAGTAAATCTGTGCCACTGGGATTTAAATAAAAAATGTCACTAAAAATATAAATGTTGTATGCATTTTCAACCTAAAAAAAATTCATTGTCACTATATCTATATAGTTGAAATTTTATTTATTTTCACTTCAAGGTAAAAATTCACATTACTATTTCACAGTTAATACATTTTCAATGCCTGTTTTTTTTTTAGTTTGACTTTTCAGTGTTAAAAAAGCAACATATAAAAAAAAAAATCAGCCTTTCAAAATTTAAACTATATATTTTCAGCAAAAAATTCAACTGGCCTAATTTCACTGTGTTCAATTCAGCGTCTAAATTCAATGTAAAAAGGGAAGGGTTACTTCAGGTCACAGACAGTAGCAATGGATTGTGGTGTCCAACACCCAGCCAATCCCGTTACAGTTTCTTAGTCACATGACAGATTGTGGCGTCCAACACCCAGCCTCTTTGGTCTCAGCAGCAAGAGGAGCAATGAGGAGAGAGACAGTGGGAGAGCAGGTATTAGAAAAGCAAGATACTGTGCAATCAATGAAAGTCAGTTGTGCGAGAGCAGGGAAACCTCTAAAGACACGGGAGGCTGGCTGGCTGACTAGTTGACTTTTGTGACAGTGCTTCAGCAATAGCGCCCCTAGTGGCCAAAGGTTACACGGTGTGCCTTTATAAGAGTTTCGTTGCACATATTTGAAGTATTGTGTAAGAACTCATATAAATTATACTGGAATGTATTTATGACTCATTTCTAACCACTCAGATGCTTCAACAGAAAGATGATGTAAAAATCAATTCAACAAGTTTAGAATGTCTGAAATGTATGACAGGGAAGAGAAACGATAGGCAGAAGGAATCAGACCCAACAGGTTTAAGCTCCTCCTTGCACATATAACACGTCATTGAATGCAAAACAAGATTTTATTCTGTAATGGAGACCAAACTAGCAGCTTCCTCTGAGTGAGTCCAGCTGCAGGAGAGAAAAGTGGAAACCTCCAACACTGCTGCTTCAAGCTGCTCACACTCCACACACTGAAGGTGAGTTGGACCAAGAACACCACTCAGAGTCACTTTGAGGGAAGTTAGTAGAGGAGGGAGGGGAGCCATGACTGACTGGACCTTCTGTGTTTCAGCTTCACTCAGAGACTAAATGGCTTCCAGCTTATAGGAGGATCCAGTTGTTCTGTCATGTAGCCACAGTTTCTGTAAGGAGTGTCTGAAGAACTGGTGGAGAGAGAAACCAGTAAAAGAGTGTCCAGTTTGTAAGAAGAAATATTCAAGGATGGATGTTCTGAAGAACCTGTATGAGACCTTCTTACAGCAGAGAGAGCAGAGAGCTTCAGAGGATCTCTGCAGTCTGCACTCTGAGAAACTCAAACTTTTCTGTCTGGACCATCAGCAGCCAGTGTGTCTCATCTGCAAGGATTCAGAAAAACACACCGAGCACAGATTCAGACCCATCGATGAAGCTGCTCAGCAACACAAGAAGAAACTTCAGGAAACTCTGGAAGCTTTGAAGAAGAAGCTGGAGCTCAGGAAGAAAGTTCAAGAGGAGTTTGATCAGACAGCAGAACACATGAAGGTCCAGGCCCGACACACAGAGAGGCTGATTAAGGAGCAGTTTAAGAAGCTTCATCAGTTTCTAGCAGAGGAAGAGGAGGCCAGGCTGGCTGCACTGAGGGAGGAAGAGGAGCAGAAGAGAGGGATGATGAAGGAGAAGATGGAGGCTCTGAGCAGAGAGATAGCAGCTCTTTCAGACACAGTCAGAGCCACAGAGGAGGAGCTGAGAGCTGAAGACGTCTCATTCCTGAACAACTACAAGGCTGCAGTGGCAAGAGTCCAGCGCTGCCCCCTACTGGAGGATCCACAGCTGCCCTCAGGAGCTCTGATAGACCAGGCCAAACATCTGGGCAACCTGGCCTTCAACATCTGGAGCAACATGAAGAACATGGTGTCCTACACTCCTCTCATCCTGGACCCAAACACTGCTGGTTCAAGACTCATCCTGACTGAAGATCTGACCAATGGGACTTTTGGAGGGAAACAAAGCTTCCTGATAATCCAGAGAGGTTTGGGTATTGGTCCTGGTCTGTCCTGAGTTCTGAGGGCTTTAACTCAGGGAACCACAGCTGGGATGTTGATGTTGAAGACAGTGAATACTGGATGCTTGGTGTGTTAGAAGAGTCTGTCCAGAGGAAGGGAATCATAAAGACTGGATTGTTGGTTATATGGTTTAATAATGGTGAATACTCAGCATTGTCTCGACCATCTCCTTCTAAAGATCTCTCAGTTCAGAAGAAGCTCCAGAGGATCAGAGTGAATCTGGACCGGGACAGAGGAAAGCTGTCCTTCTCTGATCTGGACACTCACACACACATACACACCTTCACACACACCTTCACTGACAAGATGTTTCCATTATTTTCCACTGGTGATGATACAGTAAAAATCTTACCCATGAAGATCTCAGTGAGCAAACAGCAGCTCTGATGTTCTCAGCATGAAGAACACAAAGTCCAAATGAAACCTTATTGATCTGATTGAAACTCAGTGTTTGAAACCGGAAACTGGAGATGATCTGATCTGATCTGACTGATCATCTGGTTGTTTTCAGGTCAGTTTCAGATCTGCTTCATAATCTGTCCAGATGCTACAAACTAAGACATGAAGTGGATGATGTGGAGTTTAGTTTGGTTCTGACAGCAGATCCAGGTGTGCTGATCATGAACAGGGAACAGGTGAGGTTAGTGGAGACATCAGGACCCTGGAGAGCTCTGCTGATGGAAACAAACTGAGATCCAAACATCCAGACTGATGAAGAAAACTCAGGTTTTTTCATGTTTAGTTCAGGAACATCTCAGCAGATTTAATCTAAATAGAAGCTGGCAAACAAACCTTGTGTCCTGGTACTTCAGATCCTGGTACCGCAGCCTTCATTGTGAAGTTTTCTACTCCAGCTTTGCTCAATGAGTCCAGAAGGTTCTGTTTATTTCCTTTAACTGCAGATTTATGAAGCTGATGCTCTTCTGCCTCCTGACGCTCCTGAGCCAACCTGCAACACATTTATTTAATTATGAATCCATGTTGGAGCAGTTTGAAGCACTAATGACTTGCAGCATGACGGTCCTGGGTTTGAATCCCTGCTTTGGTGTCTTTTTCAGAGTTCTTCCAGATTCTAAAATTGTGGGATTGTTTAATTGATGATTACTTAGTGCTCAAATATTTGTTATTATCTGGTTAAGGAAGAGTCCTTGTTCTAACTGTGAACAAACAGCTTGAATAGTTTTAATGATTTCCTATATTTGGAAGCATAAGACTCTGTCATTAAAATATGATTGTCTGGCTGCACACCTTCTCTGTGAATCGCTTTCAGCTTTAATGTTGGTCACTTTTCCTTTACTTCAGGCTCCTCTCCTGTGGAACCAACTACCAGTTTTAGTCCATGAGGCAGACACCCTGTCTACTTTTAAGACTAGGCTTAAAACTTTCCTTTTTGATAAAGCTTCTAGTTAGAGTGGCTCAGGTTATCCTGAGCTATCTCTATAGTTATGCTGCTATAGGCTTGGACTGCTGGAGGACATAGGGACCCCCATTTCATCATTCTGCTTCATTCTATCTCTATTCTCCCACTCTGCAGAATCTGTTAGTTCAATCTCTAATGTTCTGCTCTCTCTGCTTTTTCTCATAGTAGCTTCATCTGGTCTATTCCTGTTTAGAACAGACCAGATGAAAGAAAACTTTGAATCAATTTGACTATATGATCTAGTGAACTGTAAAGTGCCTTAAGATGACTTGTGTTGTGAATTGGCACTATAGAAATAAAATTAATTGAATTGAACTTTTGCTTGCAGCCTCCTAGCTGTGCTGTGAGTGGTTTCCGCCATCATGGAAACGCATGTATTATGTTTTTCTATGTCTTTGGAACAGATTCGATCTAAATCTGAAATAAAACCAGAAAAACTGAGTTAGTGTTCAAGTTTGTGTCAAAGTGTTAAGTGTTTGTTCTATTTAACCAAAAATGGGTTAAGTTTAAGTCCATTCTATTGTACTTATAGATGTAGATCTTTTGGGTGTGGCTAAAAGAATGGTGCTGTGACATCATGCAGATGAAATGTGTGAACAATTAACAAAGGAAGGTGCTTTGGAATGGGCATAGTCAAAGTAAATTAAAGTTGGCTGCATTTCATTGCAGGAAAATTTTAATTACTTAAGAGTTTTTGATCATCCAACTTTAGCTTGGTGATGAAAGACAAATATTTCTGTGGCTTGAATTCTGACACTTCAATAAAAAAGCAAATATCAATGATAATCTCTTATTTACTGTTTTGCAGCGGTTTAAAATTTCACAGAGAAAATCACATATGGGCTGCTCAGTGGAAGTGGGTAGCAATGCTGCCTTGCAGCAAGAAGGTTCCGGGTTTGATTCCCAGCCCAAGGTCTTTCTGCATGGAGTTTGCATGTTCTCCCAGAGCCTGTGTATGTTCTCTCCTGGTACTCCGGCTTCCTCCCACAGTCCAAAAACATGACTGTTAGGTTAATTGGCTTCTATAAATTCTCCTTAGGTGTGAGTGTGTGTGTGAATGGTTGTTTGTCCTGTCTGTCTCTGTGTTGTCCTGCGATGGAGTGGCGACTTGTTCAGGCTTGACCCCGCCTCTCACCCGAAGGCAGCTGGAGTTAGGCACCAGCATCCCTTACGCCCCCAGCAGGGCTAAGGGTGTCAGGAAATGGATGAAAATTAAACACATTCAGGGATCTGCTGGATTTTAATGATTATTTATTATGTTTATTTTTTCTATTTTTTTTTTTATTTCTAGATAAAAAAAAAAAAAAAAAAACTGACGTTTTAAGTTGACTTTCAAAGTTGTTTTTAACAGCTGATTGATTATCTGACTAATGATGGAAATCAGTTTATGTTTAATCCATTCTGATCAGTGATCAGTTTATAAAATACTGAACTACTGATTTCGATTTAACATTATTTAATGAGTCAAACCGAAAAAAAATCAAACTTGTCTTGGTTTGCTGATACAAATTTCTTGTTGCTCAGAAAAGGCTGGTAACCTTTATTCTGGTCTGTAGTGATGTCATTCCTTCATCTTCTTTAGGACTCATTATTTAATTAAACCACACACCCAGCAGCTTCCTCTATAAACATGAAGTTCAAAAATAAAACCGACCTGTGGAGGAAGCTCTCTTTGGCCGTCTCAATCTGCAGCGTTCCTCCTTTCCACTTGGATTTGTTCAGAACCGTCAAACCTGCAGGAGAGAAACAAATATTAAAACTAAATCACCAACAGAAAGACTGGGAGACAAATAAAAACCTTCTATCATAAAAGCATGAAGTTCCAGGACTTCATGCTTTTATGATAGATATGGGAAGTGGAGACTGGAGGGTAGTTAATTTGGCCAAAGTTTGAAAACTTCATTAAGTTCCTTTATTTCAAAACTTAAATAAAACTCAAAGTTTTAATTTATACTCAAATTTCAAGCCTTTTAAAAAAATAAATAAGCCCTCACTGTTTTTTGTAGAGATCTTTATTTAAGTTTCAGAGGAAACCTCAACCTGAAGTCTTTTAACTCAAGACCAAAATCTAATTTAATAGCTTTGGTTATTTCTTCCCTTAGGTCTAAGAGTGAGATGAGAAAAACACCTTTGTTTCTAGATGTTGGAGCTTGGCCTGTTTTTCAGTGTAGTCCTGTTTCTCTGACTGTAACTAACTGGATGTGCTCTCCTCATCCTCTGACATGAGAGCTGGCTTGGAGCTCAAATGCCTGGCTGTGTGTTTCCCGGACAGGGCCACCTGTGGAGCTGGTTTACAGTTGCTTTTTGTATCTATGCTTCTTTTTCTATGTCTGCTTCTGTCTCCTTGAACCCCAGTCGGCCTCAGCAGATGGTCACTCCCACTGAGCCTGGTTCTGTTGGAGGTTTCTTCCTGTTAAAAGGGGGTTTTTCCTCTCCACTGTCGCTACAAGCATGCTTAGTGTGAGGGATTGCTGAAGAGTCAACGAGTCGATGCAATCAACTGGTTTTCCTTAGATGGAAAACTTTGAATCAATCTGACTGGATGATCTGGTTGGTGCCTTGAGATGACATGTGTTGTGAAATGGCGCTATAGAAATAAACTGAATTGAATTAAAGCTAAGATCAGTGGATTTAATATGACTTTATTAAATGCTCAATGGGAATTCCTATTTCTGTTGTTTGTATTTCAGGTATCGATTGTCAATGCTCAAAGGACACACCTTTAGGCTTACTCTTGTTAATTCCAGTAAGGATGCTGAAATCATTCTGATAAAAAAAAAACTTTCCATCTTCATTAATTAGATCAAATCTTAATCTTACTGCAATAACAGACAGAAATATGTGATTTGTGACATATGTCACTTTAACAGGATTCCTGCACCTTTATTTACATCATCATGACCTTATAAGGGCTGATTTCCTTACATTCAACGACGATATGCTTTGACATTTACCAACTGCTAGAGCTGAATATGTCATCTTGGGCTGCACCTAGCGACTGTTTGATTCATACAATCTAGAAAATGCCTCAATAAACGATTTTTGAACATTTACTGCACATCTAAATGGATTGTACATGGTTAAAACAAGTAAAAAATGAGGTGTTCTGGACAGAGCATTACAGAAAAAAAGAAGAAAAAAATGCTGAATGTTAAAAATGTCATGCCATGTCTCTGCATCAAACTGACCATATTGATGCTTTTTTTTAACCTCATGTTTTTTTCTCTCACAAAGTTTACATTTAATCACTCCTGCACTTTAAGAAATTCACAACAAATGTCATCTTAAGGCACTTTCCAGTTCATACAATCAGATTGATTCAAAGTTTTCTATCTAAGGAAAACCAGCTGATTACATTGACTTATTGACTCTTCAGCAATCCCTCACACTGAGCATCCTTGTAGCGACAGTGGAGAGGAAAAACTCCCTTTTAACAGGAAGAAACCTCCAGCCCACTGAGCCTGGTTCAGACGCATTCGTCCGTTTAAATTTGCATGTCTTCTAAGCCAAAACAAGGCTTTGTTGGGCTTCTGTATAAAACCTCGAACTCAACGCTATTTCTGACATTGTGAATTAAAAAAACACTTTGTGGATGGGAAGCGAAACGCCTTCAAACTAGGATAAAAAGTCCAGTAGATGTTATTTTTAACTTTTTTGGAATTGCTCACACTGATTAATGTGCTGTTAGCAGATGCTAACTATGCTAACAATTTAAAGGAAACACAAGAATGCAGTTCAGAGCAAACAAGGGACAACAACATGTTTACAGCAGACATGTTTCTCCAAGGGTTTGAACTTTAAATATTTGAAAGGTCTTCAAGGACCAATAGGAACCGTCTTCTCAACGCACAGGATAACGTTTGAGCTTTTTTCCAAAGCTAAATATCAGCTGTTTCAGGCTCCAAATATTAATTCTAGAGTCTCTTTACTTACATTTCTTCAGGTCTGTGTCAGAAATGTTGATGTTGATGTAGGCAAAGGTTTTATAAGGAACACCTGCAGAAAAAATAAATAAATAAGGAAATGTGATGAAACTATGAGAGAATAGAAGGTTCTCTGGAAACAATGATGTATTTAAAGATGATTTTATATTTAAGTAATTATCACAATGTGATTCAGTTACTGATGAAGGTACAGAAATAAAGAAACTTTTCAGTACTGTTCAGGTTTCCCATAGCTTGGTTAACACCAAACTCATTAACTTTTAAAGATGTGTAGCAGAATTTACCTGCTTCAAGTATCATCTGTAGCTACTTTTACATGGAGGCATGTAATCTGAATAATTGGACTAAAACCACGAGATGTAAACATTAGCAGTCAGACTATCCTGAGTGGATTCAGCAGGATCAGAATGGAATGTAATTCTGACTGAGATGGAGAGTTTATGACGACTGAGAATCAAATCAGCATGAAAACTAAAACGCTTGGTAGGATCAAATTATCCTGAAGGAGCTGAGATCAGAATATTCCAATCGGCATCTTTGTGGGACGCATTCTTTTCGGAACGTCTGTTTCATGCATCCATTTTATCCATATAAAACGTACAATCTGATTTTTTCCCTTATATTTCAATTGGAAATGTTGTGCATTGGAGAAGCTAATAATTGATTTTAGTACCATGCAAATTCCTAAAGAAATATGGGATGACATGGAGGATTTTGGAGTGTAATTAATAGAAAAGAAAAGGGAATGTGCAGCCTAAATCCTTATTAATAATACTGATTGTTACATTTACACTCAGCGGCCACTTTATTAGGTACACCTGTCCAACTGCTCATTAACACTTAATTTCTAAGCAGCCAATCACATGGCGGCAACTCAGTGCATTTAGGCATGTAGACATGGTCAAGACAATCTCCTGCAGTTCAAACCGAGCATCAGTATGGGGAAGAAAGGTGATTTGAGTGACTTTGAACGTGGCATGATTGTTGGTGCCAGAAGGGCTGGTCTGAGTATTTCAGAAACTGCTGATCTACTGGGATTTTCACGCACAACCATCTCTAGGGTTTACAGAGAATGGTCCGAAAAAGAAAAAACATCCAGTGAGCGGCAGTTCTGTGGGCGGAAATGCCTTGTTGATGCCAGAGGTCAGAGGAGAATGGCCAGACTGGTTCGAGCTGATAGAAGGGCAACAGTGACTCAAATAACCACCCGTTACAACCAAGGTGGGCAGAAGAGCATCTCTGAACGCACAGTACGTCGAACTTTGAGGCAGATGGGCAACAGCAGCAGAAGACCACACCGGGCGCCACTCCTTTCAGCTAAGAACAGGAAACTGAGGCTACAATTTGCACAAGCTCATCGAAATTGGACAATAGAAGATTGGAAAAACGTTGCCTGGTCTGATGAGTCTCGATTTCTGCTGCGACATTCGGATGGTAGGGTCAGAATTTGGCGTCTACAACATGAAAGCATGGATCCATCCTGCCTTGTATCAACGGTTCAGGCTGGTGGTGGTGGTGTCATGGTGTGGGGAATATTTTCTTGGCACTCTTTGGGCCCCTTGGTACCAATTGAGCATCGTTGCAACGCCACAGCCTACCTGAGTATTATTGCTGACCATGTCCATCCCTTTATGACCACAATGTACCCAACTTCTGATGGCTACTTTCAGCAGGATAATGCGCCATGTCATAAAGCTGGAATCATCTCAGACTGGTTTCTTGAACATGACAATGAGTTCACTGTACTCAAATGGCCTCCACAGTCACCAGATCTCAATCCAATAGAGCATCTTTGGGATGTGGTGGAACGGGAGATTCGCATCATGGATGTGCAGCCGACAAATCTGCAGCAACTGTGTGATGCCATCATATCAATATGGACCAAACTCCCTGAGGAATGCTTCCATCACCTTGTTGGATCTATGCCACGAAGAATTTAGGCAGTTCTGAAGGCAAAAGGGGGTCCAACCCGTTACTAGCATGGGGTACCTAATAAAGTGGCCGGTAAGTGTATATTCACAATGTTTAGTGATGCATGGTTGCTGGGACCTTTAACCTGTGAAGCAAATGTGTTTCGAGCTTCATATTGGTCTCCAACCACTAACTAAAAATTACTTTTTTTTTTTTAAATCCATGGACGGACACAATTGGCAATTCACCTGTGAGCGGATCAGGAAGGTCAGTTCTGTGATTGGATGCCCTCTGGACTCAGCGCAGGAGGTGGGAAATAAAAGGATCCTAAGTAAATTAACATCTCTCTTGGATAGTGTCTCCCAGCCCATGCAGGAAGCTGGTGCTGAACTGGAGAGCTCCTTCAGTGACAGACTGAAGGAGCTGCACCCTAAATGCACCAGGGTTTGTTATCACAGATCCTTCCTCCCAGCAGCTGGAAGACTCTAGAACCACCACTGTTCCCAACGACCTCAATCAGTTGTTACATTCATGCTGATTTTGCACAGTTTCTATCTTAGTTAAATAACATGCTGCTGTCATTTTGCACATCTCTGATGTTGCTGCTATTTTCAAATATCCATCACTGTCCAAATGTCCATAGCTGGATACTGGTTATTGTGGGACAATACAGGGATTTTCTATTCTGTTCTATTCTCATTTATTCTATTCTATAAGATTCCACGGACTGCATGTCCTTTTACACACGTTAGTGACGTGAAGGCAACGCTAGAATCTGACTAATAAAAAATGAAAGACAGGTTGACAGCTGTTACCCAAATTTAAATTTCAGAAAAGTTCATGTATTTTAAGGACCAATTGAAACCTGTGTATTCGATCGATTGTATTCTGCTGTTCTGAATGATGACCTCCAGCAGATGGTTTTATTACGAAAGGATCTTAACTTCTATAAGAAAAAAACTTTTTTTCCCCTCACCCTCCTCATCCCTCCTGGTTCGTAGCTCCACGTCCAGCACCTCCCCAAACTTTCCAAACCGATCCTTCAGATCCTTCTGGGTGACTGTGTGGTTCAACCCGCCGACGTAAAGCCGCCGCATTGCTTCAAATCCACAAAAACAAAGTCCCTGCAAAAACAGCAGCAGCCATCAGCATCTAAACATCTGCTTATGTGTGAAAAACAGGATTAGAAGAAAAGAACAAAGGTTAAAGGAGGTGCTGTTCGCTTACAGATGATCATTTCTGCTTTTAAAATTACAATTTAGGTTTGATCATTTCCACTTATCGCTTCTTCAAAAACCCACGGCGACTAGTTTCTAAACTTTCTGTAAACAAAATTTCCCGAGCTGGATTTTTCATCTTACATGATATTATATGAGGTTATATTTGTTGTTTATGAGGTTTTGTGAATTATCCAATGGTCCATGATTGACTCACCAAGTAGAAACAAAAATATTCCAAATACAAAGTGATTATAAGATGGCTGAAACAGGAAGCTCCCAGTGAGAGGTGAAACTAAGAAAGTACAAATATTCTGTTTTATACTGTGACCATTTCCTGAGATGTGTCAATGATTGAATTATCAGAGCAAATTAAACGGAGCTGAGAGCAGTTCTTAGTGATGATCATCGGCCGACTGTAACCTCTGTACACCCAGATAATGGAAAGACCCACAACATCACCAATAAGGTGTGAGCTTTCTTTTTGTGATAAACTGCTGCCCCCTAGGTGCACAAAGGAGTGTTACTGCAGATCCTTCCTCCCAGCAGCTGTTAAAACTATCACTGCTCCTAATAAACTTTCTAAGTGTTTAAATCTCTTGTTTTCTTTATACAAATAAACATCTTTAGGTTTTGAGCCTTTTTTTTAATTGTCCTAATCAGATGCAGATTTATTCATCTTCTGATTGAAATTTTAAATATATTAATGGAACGTTTTAATCTGAGTGCCCTATGATTAATAACTCTGTGGTAGTTTTTATGTTTGGAATGCATCCCTAGTGTGTTTCTTATTATGGATCTTTTTTGCATCAGAGGTAGACTGATGTTAGTGTCCTTTTCTTGTATCGGCGATATGTTCATGAATCGGCAATTTAGTGCATTCAGCAGACATGTCTTCACATTGCGTGCAGCTGCTTTAACAATCCCTTCAGCACGTCTTTTTGTTTAAACTTTTTATCGTTGTTTCATGTCTTCTGTGTAAATGGAGGAATAAAAGAAATATCAGCTGCAAGAATCGACCCCAAATATCAGTAACACATATCAGGTGTCAGTTTGACTGATTAAAAAAAAAAAACTGTAGCTGTTGTTATCTAATTAGATCATTTTACCACTGTGTGCATCTGAATAACTTGCCCATACATTTCCTGCTGCTACCAGAGTTTCCCTACTGTGGGATGCTAAAGATTTCTATTTTGTTTAGTTTCAGACCCGTTCCTGCTCAGCATCTGGACACCAACACATCTGAACCACAGCTGTTACACTCAGGGAAGACTCCTTCTCACTGATTTTCTTAAGAGCTTGAAACCCAGACAAAAAACTACCCAGATGTTAAAGTTGTACAATATTTTAGAGATACCAACAATAACAGACGCCTGTAGAGGCTTTGCAGCATTCAATGCAGCTTTTTTCCCTGCTGCCATAAGACCGTTGAACCTCTAATCAAGTCACAAATCAAGACTTAGACAAACTTTGTCCTTTTCTACACACAGAGTGTATACAAAGCAAACTTTCATTTTGTACAGCTCTCAAGACATTTTCATTTCTTAAACAGCAGCAGTGATCAAATGTAAACATTGGGAGAAAAAACATGGTGCAAAAAACAAAATGATGTGTTCAGTTTGATGCAGAGACTGTGGTATGATTTACAGATTTGTCAACATTAATCTTTTTTCAGTTTATTCTTTTTTTCTTTATGTTTTTTAAACATTCAGCTGTCTAATGGCGGTGGGGAAGAAGCAGTTCTGGAATCTGCTGGACCTGCACCAGATGCTGCAGAGGGCAGCAGGGAGAACAGTCCATGGTGGGGGGGTGAGGGGTCACTGATGATGTCACGGGCTTAGGACACACAGCACTGGGATGAAATGTCTTTAATGGAGGGAAGAGGAACCCCCATGATCCTCTCTGCTGTTCTCACTGCTCTCCAGACCTTCTTCCAGTCTGAGGCGCTGCAGCCTGGAAGAAGGTGACTCTGCATCACACTTGTAAACATATTTATACTTCATGGAAAATTTTCCAATCCTTTTAATTGAACTCAACTCTATGTTTTACTGCATTTTGCACCATATTTATTTATTTTGCACTGCTCTGAACCTTCCCTATCAATGCCTTTTGCACCATGACTTTAAACTGTTTTTTTTCCTTTTCTCCTACAGTGTTTAAATGTTGATCACTGCTGCACTTTATAAATGGAAACGTTAATTTCACTGCTAAGCTGCTCATTAACTGTTGAAAAACTGCATGCATTATACATATTTCATTGTCTATTCAAAAATGAGAGTTTGTCTGAGTCAAACCGTGGCACTAAACAGAATCTAACTGGACAATAATGTTCATATCAGACATCCAAAGAGCAAAGCCTGAGATATTAAATGCTAAGATGGTGTTTAGATCAGTCACTTCAGTCACTCTATATCTAAATCCATACATCTGTCATCTATACCCCTTAAAATAACTGGAGGATTTTTAAAACTACTGGATTTGTTTTATAAGGCAATGCAGCACGTTTCATTAATTATCTGATTATAAATTAAATGCTTAAGTCTATCATATAAATCTAATCTTAACGCAAATATTTTAAACATTTTAAGGTTACTTTAAACAGTTTAACAGTAAAGATGAACATAAAACAGGTGATTAAACTCGTGTTTGGATGTGATGATTTAATGTTATCTGTCCGAACAGAGCGCAGACAGACTCGGCTAAAGAGAAACACATCCTGTATTTAAAAAAAGAGGCTAAGATCCCAAATAAAAACCTGTTATAAAATTCGCATGCTACCAGAAATATAGAAAAAAAAAAACTCAGATGTTTACCTCACATGTATCCAACCGGTGCTACTTCCTTCCGAGTCCGGGTAACATCTACTTCCGGAAGTCTATATGAAAAACGTTCCGCGTTCCATTTTCATAAGGAAACAACTTATCAAATCTTTAAGTACACATACAAACATTTTAAATGACCTTTTCTATATACGAAAGCTAAATGGCATTACTCTGAGGAAAAATGTCAGTTTGTTTTTTATTTTTCCGGTGTTCACTCAACTGTGTCGAGGAGGAGGGATGTTTAATCTGTTTCAGACTGATTAAATTATATTTTAGATCAATTAACAACAATTAATTATCACTGTATGGTAGTAAGGTGATTGGATATTCATTAGGGAGGTTCTTAGATCTAACAAAAACAGCAGGTCCGTTTTTAAAGCATTCTGCATGCACGCCATCTCCCCACTCCTTTGGAAGGAGTTGGTTCGGTCCAGTGAGCGGGAGGCTACAAACAGCGAGCAGCTGCAACACATCAGCCAGGTAAACAACATACATAAATTAGTCTTTAAATGCGTAAAGATAACTTTAAACTCACCAACCTCACAAACGTAACATTCTCCTTTTATGTGTCCGTTTAAATTATATAATTAATACGGCATGTTATTGTTTTTAGTTGGTTATTTTTACAAAACATGAGCTTCTGTTCGGCTGCCTGATATAAATGGTTTCCTTCTCAGTGTCATAACATGATAACCCAGACAGCAGCAGGTGTGTCTTTGGACCGCCTGCTCAATAATAAGCAGAGGAGTCTGGCCTGGGTTCCTGCCTGCCTCCACTGGCAGGTAGTGAAGGGCATCTTAAAGCTAAACTTTATTGATTCTGCATTGATTCTGTCTCGCAGAATATTGACACCTGCTGGACATTTAAAGACACTACAGGCAGCTTATTGGACAGAATAAACTGAATGGATTTGATGACCTAGTACAATGATTTAATTTAAGTTATTGTAGGTTATATTGTATTATTTCATATCTATGTTTAAATTAAAAATATCTTTGATATTTTTAGAATCAGCCAATAAATAACGTAAACATATATCTCATAACGTAAAAAAATTAGGGGAAAATGCGAATGAGGATGTTTGTGGACTAGGATTTTAAATCATAATTTTAAAACAATAAGTTATGTAAAAACAGTAAATAAACTAAGATTCAATTTTAAATTATCTTATTCAGATAACCTGAATTATAACTGAGAGGATAATAATGACACAACGAGAAAATAAAAATAAAAATGCAACGGCTGAAACGTTCCTATTCCTTTTAGGCTCCAAAATTATTGACAATTTTAATGATAAACTGCAAAAGATGAGACTTTTTTTTAGCCGATGGATCGTGTTGACAGATACGTTTTTAAACAGAGTTTAGTGAGTCAGTCGGTTAGAAACAACTCTTGCATTGGTCACATGACTTTCTTAAAACGATGCAGTGTTTTGCTCTATGGGCTCGATGCATGCACTGACGCAGGGCTCCAGTACGTTATGGATCTACCTGGGAATCTCCTGTTTATGTCCCATTTTCACAGTGCCCAACCAGTATGAATTGTAATCAGACTGCAAACACATGCATCTGACTGCTTTAGGTATGGATGACCTGGAGTTACACCTGTTGAAGATTAGTTTATTAAATTAAGGAGATTGGTTTACCTTTGTTGTTGTGTAATTAAGTTCTTCTTCTATTTGAGTGAATGTTTCATTGTTTCCCAGGCGGAAGGTTAAACAATGAGTGAGGAAAACTCAGCGGAGGTGAAGCTGCTGGAGGCTCAGATCCAGGACATGCAGGCAGAAATTAAAGGTCTGCAGCAGCAACATGAGGATAACTGTAAGGAGATCACCTTCCAGTACAGAGGACAAATGCAGAATGCTCTGTGAGTTTAATTCGTTTAACTTAAATCGTGTTCGATGACCGGGTTCCAGGTAGCCATCATGTGGATGCTTGTTTGTCTCTGCAGAGCGGTTCTGAGTGGACGTGCCCTGGACCAGGAGGAGACGGTGGTGTCCAGGCTGAAAGAGGAAGTGGAGGAGCTGGAGGATTCTCTGAAGCTGCAGACTGAGATTAACGGCATCAGCCTGAACAGTTGCACCATAAAGACCCTGCAGAACCGTAAGGATGCAGATCTGCCATCAGGCATTTTAGGCAAGGAAATAAGCCAGAGTGTAGAGGATCATTTTCATTAGTGTCTGACCCATTTACAGCTCTAATAAAATATAAGAATACAGTGAAAAAAGAAAATCCTTTTTAAAAAAAAGTCAAACTTATATGGATCCATAACACACAGACTTGAATATTTATTTTATGCCTTTCTAAACTTGATCATAGAAAATAAAATCCCAGAATTTCATATCTTTAGAAAATGAGAATATTTCATAGAATCAATGAAAAAAAGATTTTTAACAGCTGCCTCGATTGACTTGATAAAACCCAGTAAAGAAGAACCTGCAGGTGACCTATCATTATGTTCAGTCTCCAGTCAATCCTTTAAAGCTCCTTCATATTATTCAGAGGATTTTCTTTTTTTTTTCAACTATATTTATTGAACAGTTTTTAAAACAATAACATACAGAGTACAAAATATAAAGATGACACATTTAGTGGCACATCTGTATGTAAACACCCCAAAACAACGCCCAGCAACACCAACCCTCACCTTTACAAGCGTTCTTGACCAGACAGACAGAAGATATAAGCATTCACACACAAACACGCATCTTCTGCCTCCATTTATCTGTTTACTACAGTGTGTTGAATTCATGTTAATGTGGATTTAAAGACATTTCAATTCGGGAGGGAATATATAAAAAAAAAATAAAAAAAAATGAATCAACCAAAAGTTTCGCGACCCCGATGCAGTGCCTCCGAGGACCCCCTAGGGGTCACGGACCCCCTGTTGAAGACCTCTGGTTTAACACATAAAAGTGCTGTTTAAACGTTTGTTGTTGTTTTTTTTTTTTTTTTTTTTACAAATAACTACTGTACTTTACTGTAAAATAATATAGTTATAAATAAATAAATAAATATTAATTTTAATTATCAATATGAACTGAAGGGTTAATATTGCGTTGATCAGCACCGCCCCACCGTGACGGATTGGAACGGGAGAAAATGAGAAAGTATTATAAAAAAAAATACAAAGTACAGTAGGACAAATAGTGACTCACGTGTTTAGTACAGTACAGTTTTTTCTTCTAAAGCCTGCGGTGCAGGTGTGTGTTTTTTGGAGAGAAGAACATAGTTATCGGTAGTTGTTGTCTTCTGGGCCAAAAGATCCTTATAAACCGACATGCCACCATCGATTATGTTTGACAATAAAGTTTAACAATGCATGATGCAAATCCGTGAAGCAGCGAGACTGTGAAAAGTGAACCGCGTTACAGCGAGGGTTCACTGTATACACATCAGAACGTCATAAACAAACAAACAGATAAATAAATAAAACACCGTCTCTCCTACTCAATCCCCAGTTCTTGAGAATTATAATTAGGAGATTCTGTGTGTCGTAGAAAAGGTTCCCAGGTGGAATTAAATGATTTCACCGAACCTTTAAGTGAAAATCTGAGTTTCTCAAGCTTCAGATTATAGATTACATTCAGAGGATTTTCTTAACAGTCCTCTAAATGCTGCTGTTCATCCTGCTCCTGGTAGACTTTTTCTTTCCACTCAACCTTCTATGAATATGCTGGGATTTAATACTCTGAACGACTACAGTAGCTTTTTAAGCTATGACCTGTTGTGGCTTCCTGTTATCTGTCTAGTCAACAGTCCTTCCCATGATTATATGGAATATAATAAGACAAATTCATAACAAACGTACACTAAAAATGTTTGTTTTTTAAGTTTAGCTTTTTTAATAAGAAATTCACCTCTGCGTTTAACCCATTCCCCGTGGGTAGCAGTGGGCTGCCATTGTGCGGCACCCGGGGAGCAGTGGGGGGTTAAGGGTCTTGCTCAGAGACCCAGAGTAGCAGTCTGTGGGAGTGGGTTTCGGACTCACAACCTCAGGATTGTGAGTTCTATGCTCTAACCACTAGGCCGCCACTCCCCTAAGAGATTTTTGATGTTCAATTTTTACAACATATCCTCATTATCAGTGCGTATGAAATCGTACGAAAAGTTATGCACACTATTTCGTACGTTTTGGACATTTTTCCTGAAAAAACCACATCAGTGCGCATGCGCTGGCAGACAGAAAAAAAAAAGCAGATCCGCGGACGGACGTAAAACTGGGAAAAACAGTGCAATAATCACTTATTCATGTCTTTAACTACGTTGCTTGCTGTTTTATATCTTAGGGTCAGGGTTAGGGCTAATTGTAATTTATATTCTATATTCGTGAATGGTGCGTCAGATGCGCATACGCATACGACGAAAAAAACGTCCAAAACGTACGAAAATACGAACTCATAATGAGAATACACTAATTTTTAAGACATGTATTTAGTGATTACCGCTATAATATAGTACTTGAAATATTTCCACTCTTTAATAATCTATATAAACTAGTAGCCCATCAAACATTGTTTTATTGGGCTACTGTATAAAGCCTCGAACTCAACGCTATTTCTGAAATTTTGAATTGGAAAAGCTTCCTGGATGGAAGAGAAACGTCTTCAAACTTAGAAACAAAGTCCAGTGGATTGTTTTTTAACTTTTTTGAAAATAACCTGGATGACTGAGAATCTTCACCAGCATCTAATTAGTTTTATATGTACCTTTAGGTGTTAAACATGTTGTTCAGCTTAAATACTCTTGTTAAATGTTTCTGGGTCCGTGCTTGCTCTAATATAATAATAAAAAAAAAGCTGCTTTCATCATATATCGTCTTGGCAGAATCACGTGTCCCGTTTGTCCAAACTGATCTCGTCTTTCTGAATTCTAGTTAACATTTCTCCCTCTGTGTGTTTGTTACAAGGCCCAGAAATGGTCCAGCAGATTTGTTTGTCATGTCGCAGCTGTGAGCTCAGCTTCCAGGTGGAGTTCCTGCTGTCTGAGGTCAAGGTAAGTCATTCAATTGCGGCTGTTTTAGAGAAGCAGCTGATGTTCATAGACCGCTGGCTCCCTGATGTTGTTGTAATGTTCTGATCTTTTATTAATTTGCTAAACCACCTCTATAATGTGATGACCAGAGCTGACGTTAACAGCCGTTCATATAGTGAATAAATCTCCTGGTGTTCAGGTCTGTGAAGTGAACTCTTCATGTTTGTTTTCTAAACTTTTAGCCAAACTTGATCTAGAATTCAGTTTAATCACATATTTCAATCTGAAATAAAATCATGAATCCTGGTTTGGGTTTGAATATTTTCCTAAAAAAATTCTAGAGGTTCTACTGTTCCTTTAAATCAAGACTAAAAACACATTTGTTTAGGATTGCCTTCGACTGAAACATCATTAGTTCAACTTTTTTATTTTCTGTAGTCCAACTGTTTTTAATATTCTTTTTTGTTTATGCATTTTTTATTTTATTTTATTATTTTTTTTCCTACTTGCTTTGATTCTGTTTTGATTTCCTATATTTTAATCATGTAAAGCACTTTGCATTGTTTTTGTACTGAATTGTGCTATACAAATAAATGTGCCTTGCCTTACCTTACGTTACTGAAGAGGAGTTCACATCTTTAGCCAGCAGAGGGAGACAGAGAGCCATAAATAGGTCACTGGTTCTCAAACCTTTGGAAAAAATTAATAATATCACTATGATAGATATTAGTAAGAGACACAGACGTCTGGTTGTTACCTCTGATTTGTTGATAAGGGATGTACTAGTAGAAATAACTGAGTTTAATTTGACAAAATAAAAAAAAAATAAAAAATCCTAAGAAGGTCTGATGAAATGCACCAAAAATTGCAAAGAACTGCCGTCATTATTAGGATGAGTGATTGCTGCTAAGAAACATAATAAATATATAATAATCCAGTTAGTTAATTAAATCTGTAACTTTGAAATCAGATACACGGACCTACATTATTAATCATGTTAGTTTTTAAAAAACAAATAAAGACAAAAACGTCTAGTTAGAACTGGTCATTATGTGAAAAACTGTTTACTTCATGCAGGCATGGATCTGCTGTTATCTGCAACCCTCTCTACCTTTCTGTGGTGGTAAAGCATTTTACCGCCACCTAAAGGGCTGGAGGGGAAGTTAGTGTCTTAATCTAGTTAAATATATTGTGATTGAAAAGCAGTGCCTCTGATTTGAAAATGGTGTTTTGTTAATTTGCCATTATATTGCAAATTAACTGCCCAGCCTTACACTGAACAAGGGCCGCAACTAACGATTATTTTAGTAATTGATTAATCTATTTTTTTTTATATAACAATTTAATAATCAGATATTTTCTACAAAATTAAACTAGGTGAAACTAAAACTTTTCCAGTTGAGGATTTCTGGATAGAGCAGATTGACAGACAATAAACAGTTTTTGTTGTCCTAAATGCAAAATATTTACCGTATGTATATTTTTTACAATCTTTACATTTTTTATATTTTCACAATCATCCAAGTGACATCTAATGTCAGAAATTAAAATGTCAGAATTAAAAACATGCAAATTGTCCTTTTCAATTTGCATGTTTTCTAAGCCAAAACAAGCTTTGTTTTTGGTCAAATTCATTAGCTCTGTGAAACATTTTAAAAATTTCACATCAAAAACTCCTCTGATCAGAAAGCAAAGTAGTTTATAAAGAGTTACAGTTGGACAATAATTGAATATCAATATATAACCATATTTTTTATGACATTTTAACAGACATTAGTCTAATTAAAGCATTTGTTGTCGACTGAACTCACAGGTTTCATCTAGTTTTATGTGTTTTGTGCTTAAAAGCAGATAATCATCAAATTTTTCTTTAGAGGAGTTTTATAAACTCATAATCTTTTAAACAGTGCAAGTGAAATAACCCCAATCAACTGCCATGTAGTCTTTTCTTAGCTCTCTATTGTGCAGATATTTTTATATCTTTTATCTCCTATTTTGTACCATATACATGCTTTATTTTTTTCTTTAATGGCATCTTGCTTTAACTCTTTGTACTCTATATAAGCCACTGGGACCAGAATTTCCCTGAAAGATTAATCCCAAGGGATAAATAAAGTATAAACATGCTTAAATAATTCTCATAAGTTTGTACAGGATCCTGTTGGTGCATTTTTTAAGTCTTTATGAGGCTTTAAATATGTAAACTGTATTGTATCAACTAAAATTAAGAAATATATTGTTAGTTTTTAGTCATATTGCCCAGAGCTGTTTGGAGGTGATTTAATCTGTAAATTCAGTCAGGTGGTCAAAGCGTCTCCTCATCTTGATGGTTTAATGAGAGACTGGGGTCTCTGGTTTTAGATAAGACTCCACATGTTTGGCCTCCATCCGTCCCAGAGACCTCCTCCAGCTCCTCCTGGGGATCCCAGCTTGTTCCAGGGTCAGTCAGGCTCTACAGCTCCTGTAGAGAGCTTCCCCTTTTAGAAAAAAAACACTGACCTTCTGACCTTGTGTCTGGTCTACTGTCCTCGGATGTTTGACTGATGTACCACCAACACAGAGGGATCCTCATTAAGTCCTAATGGAAGCAACAGCAGGGCTGCATGCTTACATCTGCAGCTTCCACATGTTCATCAGTTATTATCCGTGTTGTTCCAGACTGTGTAAACTTCCTGCTGGAGCAAGCTGGATCATTTTGACTTGATGCTGTTTTATGTTTGCAGCATGAATCAAGCGCTGAGCAGAAAATTACTGACCTGAACCTGGTGCTGGACTCCGACGACCTGCCGGACCTCAGCAGCTTCCTGTCCAGGTACCAACCTGCACCAGTAATGAATAAATCATGTCAAACCAGAGGTTAAGGATCTGATAATGAAGTCCTGGTGCATGAACCAGTAAAAAAACCAACAAAACATGCAGGAGTGATGATTTTATTGGTTATAGATAGGCCTGGGTATTTTCCCCAAAGTCCTGTATCGATTCGATTTTGATTCATTCAGTTCTAAATTGATTAACTTCGATTCGATCTAATGAAAGTGGTTCAACTGTGTTTGAAAATACTCATGTATTTTTATTTTTCTTCCTGTCATATTAAACACAAAGTGCTACCTTGTAAATCAGACAGTTTAAACTTGAGATGTGAACAAAACTGTCTTTAAAGAGCAAACTTGTTTGTAAAAAGTGAAAAAGTGAAGCCTCACTCGAGCGAGCAGACGTGACACAGCGGGGACACAGCAGACATGCATGAGCTACATTGTCTCCACTGTACAAACCATATGTGCAGCGTTGTCTGTAACAACTACAAGGTGTTTGCTGGTCAGCCCTCATCTGTCAATGTCTTCAATCAACATATTTGCTATACCTTGAGAGCATCTTTCCTGCTCATTTGAATGTAAACGTCATGCGTGTCACTATAAAACAAATCAATCTACTTTCCTAGACATCGATTTTGCAAAAATGTAAAGGAATCGATTCATAATCGATTCCTTTACCCAGCCCTAGATGAGAAGAGGAGCAGCTAAGATCCGATCCTCTCCAAAGTCTTTCTCGACATTGTTTGTTTTTCTAAAATAATCACAGCTTCTAATTGGAGACAGAGGATGTGTTATTGGTTGGCTGAAATTTCTTTTATTTTGTTATTTAGTGGGAAACACAAAGTCAGGAGCTCAGAGATTCACTTGAAAGTATAAAAGCTATTCTATCCTAACTAACGGCATAACAGGTTTCGCATCCATTTCCGTTTTCCCCTCAAAGTCTTTTGTTTCTTTGTTTATTACTGGAAGCTTCATATTTAGTGTCAGCTTTAAAGGTTTGTTGAGGCCACAGAACAGGATTAAATGAACGGCTATTTATTAAATTTTAATTCAGTCTATTTCTATAACGCCATTTCACATCATGTCATCTCAAGGCACTTTTCAGTTCACCAGATAATCCAGTCAGATTGATTCAAAGTTTTCTATCTAAGGAAAACCAGTTGATTGCATCGACTCATTGACTCTTCAGCAATCCCTCACACTAAGCATGCTTGTAGCGACAGTGGAGAGGAAAAACTCCCTTTTAACAGAAAGAAACCTCCAGCAGAACCAGGCTCAGTGGGAGCGGCCATCTGCTGAGGCCGACTGGGGTTCAAGGAGACAGAAGCAGAGATACAAAAGGCAACTGTAAAAGGCGGCGCCGTCCAGGAAACACATAGCCAGGCAGACGAGCTCCGAGCCAGCTCCCTTGTCAGAGGATGAAGAGGGCACATCCAGTCAGTCACAGTCAGAGAAACAGGACTACACTGAAAAACAGGTGGATCTCAAAGATCTATAAACAAAGGTGTTGATGGCAGCAGCACAGCTGATATTTCTCTCCAGAATGGAGTCACAGCCAAACAGGAACAGACCAGATGAAGCTACTATGAGAAAAAGCAGAGAGAGCAGAACGTTAGAGATTGAACTAACAGATTCTGCAGAGTGGGAGAATAGAGATAGAATGATGAAATGGGGTCCCTATGTCCTCCAGCAGTCTAAGCCTATAGCAGCAGAACTATAGAGATAGCTCAGGATAACCTGAGCCACTCTAACTATAAGCTTTATCAAAAAGGAAAGTTTTAAGCCTAGCCTTAAAAGTAGACAGGGTGTCTGCCTCACGGACCAAAACTGGTAGTTGGTTCCACAGGAGAGGAGCCTGATCACTAAAAGATCTGCCTCCCATTCTACTTTTAGAAATTCTAGGAACCACTAGTAAACCTGCAGATTGAGAGCGAAGTGCTCTGTTAGGAACAATCATATCTCTGATATAAGATGGATTATTATCTCTCTCTCACCAATATATTTTGTCTATCAGCTGCATCCTGCTCCTGGAACGATCAGACTCTGTTTTAACTAGAATATTTGCTAAAGTTGTTGAAGCTGAATCATCTTAGCGACTGTTAAAAAAAAAGATGGAAAAAAACAGAGGAGAACATCTCAGACAGCTTCCAGCTTCGGGGTGGAGCAACAGGAAGCTCAGAGAAATGAACAGAAACCCAAGAGCTCCACCTCAGGCTGGACAGGCCTCCATTAGCTGGATAAAGGTTACCGTCCCAAACACAGCAGATGATCTTCTCTAAAGCAGAAGGAATAGAAAATCGTGGTGATAGAAATGGCCTAGTCAAAGTCTGAGTTTGTTCTGATTAAAACGCTGAGTGAAACTAGAGCTCCGTGATTCATCACAGCTTTATTGATTCCGGGATCAGTAGAGTGCTGAGTGATTTCTGTGCTCTCTTCATCCTTTTAACCACAATCTGCTCTGAAGTGTCTGCTCTGCTCTGATTTGCTCTGAATCTGAAGCCAAACCACATCTGGATCGTATGACCCAGTCTGCAGAACCTGGCAAACAGTAGATGGAAAAATACTGAAGATAACGATTCAGCTGGCGGCTGCTCCATCAGGACGTGTGTGTGTGGGGGTGTGTGTGAGAGCTGAACAGCTAGTTTTTACTCTCGGACTCAGATGGATAATCAAATGGATAATGTTTGGTAAACGTTCAGGTGATGCAGAGGAGTATCCACAGTTAGAGCTGCTCAGAGCAGAGTCAGTTTTCCACTAACAGGATTATTAGATTTCCAGCTTCTCCAATTTATTCAGCCTGATGTAAATCCAGCTTTAGTCTCTGTCACTACTGTGCAGCTGGGAAGAAGAAAATATTTGTCCTGTAAAGCCTTTAGAATCAACTTTTCAATCAATTAAAGCCTTTATTTTAAAACACAGAAAAAACAGAAATCTGAGTAAGTCTAATTTTCTTGAAATCGCTTAGACTTAGATTTATTTTGTCATTTTGTATACTCAAGTGTAAACAAAAATAAATTTCATTAAGAGCAGATCTCTAGACAATTAAAGTGCAGCCTTGAAAACAGTAAAAAATACATAAGTTACAACAGTTATATAGACATATAGCTATAATAGTATAATTACAGTTCTAACATTTCAGTTTTTTTTAGTTTTTAATTTTTTTTAAATAAGTGGATTTTCCTTTGAGTTGAGTAAATAATTAAGAAAATTAGCTAATTAAATGAAGCACAGTGGAAAAAAATCAAAATCTAGATAAGTCATTTTTTTCTTAAAATAAGTGCATTTGTTCTTGAATTGAGGAGGTAAAAGAGACATTTTGCCACTGGAACAAGACAATTTACATTTAAAATAAGAAAACACAATTGCATTGTCTTATTTCAAGTACATTTTATCTAATTGTCTTATTTTAAGGATAAAAATACTCATTCCTTTGGCAGATCATCTCATTTACCTACTCAAGTTAAGGTTAAATAGACTTAACTTAAGAAATTTTTACTGGTTTCTAGATCATTTTTCCAGTGTATTTATGCTTAAAATGAAAGGAAAAGACTAAATTGTCTTATTTTAAGTATCCATCCATCCATCCATCCATCTTCCTCCGCTTATCCGGGGTCGGGTCGCGGGGGCAGCAGCTTAAGAAGGGAGGCCCAGACTTCCCTCTCTCCAGCCACTTCTTCTAGCCCCTCAGGAGGAACCCCAAGGCGTTCCCAGGCCAGCCGAGGAACATAGTCTCTCCAGCGGGTCCTGGGTCTTCCCTCCTCCTCCCGGTGGGATGTGCCCGGAACACCTCACCAGGGAGGCGTCCAGGAGGCATCCTAAACAGATGCCCAAGCCACCTCAACTGGCTCCTCTCGACGTGGAGGAGCAGCGGCTCTACTCCGAGTCCCTCCCGGATGACCCTCATCATGACCATAGATGAGGGTATGAACGTAGATCGACCGGTAAAACGAGAGCTTCGCTTTTTGGCTCAGCTCTCTCTTCACCACGACGGACCGGTACAGCGCCCGCTTCACGGCAGACGCTGCGCCAATCCGCCTGTCGATCTACCGCTCCCTTCTTCCCTCATTCGTGAACAAGATCCCAAGATACTTAAACTCCTCCACTTGGGGCAGGACACCCCCCCTGACACGGTGAAGGCACTCTACCCTTTTCTGGCTCAAGACCATGGCCTCTGATTTGGAGGCACTGATTCTCATCCCGGCCGCTTCACACTCCGCTGCAAACCGATCCAGCGAGAGCTGCAGATCACGACCTGATGAAGCCAATAGGACCACATCATCTGCAAAAAGCAGAGACGCAATCCTAAGGCCACCAAAAAGGATCCCCTCAACACCTTGGCTGCGCCTAGAAATTCTGTCCATGAAGGTAATGAACAGAATCGGTGACAAAGGGCAGCCCTGGCGGAGTATTTTAAGTAGTTTGTATTTAATTATCTTACTTTAAAGCTAAAAATACTCCTTCCATTGGCAGATTATCCTGTTTACCTGATCAAATTAAGGGCAAATACACATTTAATAAAAAAGTTGTTCTCTTTTTAGATCAGTTTTTGAAGAAAAACAGTTTTTTTGGTTTAAAAGGAGCCATTTTAAAGCTTTGATCTTCCACCAGCTGAAATAATCTGCTTCAGTGAATTAATAGTTTCAGCTTTCAGAATCTCTTCATCTTTCTCCTCCTGGAGGTCTGAGGATTTACCAGGAGGAGGATCAGACCCGGGAACTCTGTGTTGATAGGAATGTGTGGATAGAAAAGATCTCCATCCTTTGAACTGCATCGCCTGGAGTTTTAATCTCTAATCTGGAGATATTTCCTTTATCAAACAGCCAGTTTTAAAGTCTTTTCAAGTTTCTTTTTTCCAGGGGTTATAATCCAGTAAATAACACCTGATGGGGTCATGTAGCCTCCTATTACTGGACCGTTACTTTCCAGCGGTGGGTAGGATTTAACCCTCCTAACCCATCTCACACGAGCGACCAGAGGAGGTCAAAGTTGAACGGTTTGA